ACTGATAAATGCATCTATGTTCTGGCTCACTGGGGAAACTTCAGAAATTCCTATAGACCTGTGAGCTCAGCTCCTCAGCAGCCCCTCTGCCTGAGTGATAATCCCTGGCCTCCTGATACCTGAGTGCCAGACAGGTAGCCATTCCAGAAAGAACAAACCCAGATGGAGACAAAAGGTGTGATTAACTTGGCAGGGAAACAGGGAAATGTAAAGATCTCTTTTGTCACACTTGATGGGTGTTTGGTGGAGGCCAAGGGGAACCATGGGGCAGGTCCAGGATGCTCAGATTGCTGCCACCAGACCTCCCCTTTCATGATGTAACCATGATGTATGAGTGATGTAGTTGGGGGGTATAACATGGGGATTAGCAGCTAATAAAAGTTTGGGTTCTCTCTTATTCGGGGCTTCCATCTTGTTCCACCTGGTGGCAGGTGGGAGTCCTGTGGCGACAGTCTTCAATCAAGACCAAGCCTCCTGGCTGCTGTTTTGCTCTGGGATTCCTGGCTGGTGTCCTTGTTTTTTGTTCCAAGGGAGCCCTCAGATTTCTCCGCTAACAATGGAAAAGTAAGGTATTTCTTTCTGCAAAGGAAATATTTGGAGCCATTAAGAGTCAAGATGGCTTCAAGATTGCTCTCCTCTACTATTTCAGACATGTGGTTTGTGCACGTATTTATGTGTGCTTACCTTGTTCACTTACATTTTATTTCTGACACCATAGAATTATTATAACATAGAGATGGGGGGGGGGGGAGAGGAACAGCTGAAGAGTCCATCATGGATAGAGTCTCACACAGGGGCACAGAGTATAGGGCGGAGTGGGCTTTAGCCCCCTTCATATTTTGGGGCAGGGGGCTCAGCCTCCCCAGTGTTGAGGGGGCTGCCACACCCTGCAGCTGCCAAGCCCCATCCTGCTGCCCCTCTGCCCCTTGGTTCAGGCTTGACCCAGGGATGGAGCAGCCGTGGCCAGCAGCCTCTCTCTGCTGCGGTGGAGCTTTGCATGGGGCAGTCCAATTGAGGAGAGGGGCAGCAGCGCTCTGCCACTGATCCTCCACTCCGAGGAAGCTGCCTCCAGAAAATGTGCCTGGTGGATGGCAGGCTGAGTGGGTCTGGGCAGCTTGGGAGGGCGTCATGCATGGTCCCACAAAGCACAACTTGGAGAAACCTCGAGTCAATCCTGTCCAAAATATCAAGAACTGAAAAATGCACAGATTGGGAACAGCATTCATTCATCTGGAATATCAGCACAAAACACTGTTGAAGATCCTCACCTCAAGATGGGGGATGTATCCAGACAAGGCATCTGGAATAGCTGCCTTGGCCAATGGAACTTGGAGCTGTTGGCATGACTGACGGTTCTTGCCAGACCTAAGGCGCCAGAAGGTCTCCAGCAGGAGGTGGCCCTCTGGAGCCCAGAGCATTTAGGGACATCACACCAGCACCTTCCTCCTTCAGTGTAGGACACTGCAGCCTGGAGCTCTGGACAGCCTTATTTGAGTGCCTGACAAGAGTCAGCCCTTGTCCATCAAATCTCATGTCAGTAGAAACCAGGCCGCGTTCGTACCAAGGCATGAGTGGCTGGCTCAAGGCAGACTGGAACACATCAGAGTTGCAAAGAACACTGGAGGGGCTGTGAAGTAGGGAGCAAGAATTCAGCTGGCTTTGGGGTCCATGGGGCGAGGCAGCAAGCACAGTGTAATATTGGAGGGGGGGCAGGGAGGTGCCCAGGACCAGGCTGCTAAGCTTGGAATGGCTTTGCTCCTCATAAGGACAGGAGCGGCTTTGCTTCCAGTCTCCTCCTGCAAACTGTTTGCTTTCCCCAGAAACCTTGTGGGGTGGGTGGAGGAGGAGGAGGAGACCCGTCTCCTCTCTCCATTGGTGGGACAGTGAGCTATTCCAGGCCTGAAAGCAACGTGCGGGGGTGGGGAGGAGAAAGAAGGATGTGGGGAGGATGAAAGCCTTTCCAGGAATCAGCTCTGGACAAGATGCAGGCACAAAGCGGCAGGTTCTGCCAAGGAGCAGAGAGAGGTGTTCCTGGCACAGGAGCGGCCCCCTCCTGTTGCCAACACAGCTCCTGTCACGGGACAGAGCCTGCTTCTTCAAGAGGGGGGAGAGTGCCAGTGCTTCCACAGAAGGGGAATGCACAATGAAGAATGCACAATGAAGCACCTTTTCACCCACACAGAAACACCCCCTTCTCTCCTTCACACTTAGGAGAGGGGTGTGTGTGAATGTGCTTTAAACGTATGGGGCGTGTGCAGCCTCAGTGGCACCATAAAGCCAAGGAGACGGATTGTGGCCGGCAGCTCCAGAGCCTGTGTCCACTGCACCAAAACCGCAAAGTGGCCCCCTGAGTGGCAGGGTTGATACACCCCTGAGGACCAAGAGAGGTGTGTGAGACCGGCTGCATGGGCCCTGGAGGCAACCGACACGCAGGACCTGAGGTGGCCACAGCCCCATGCAGAGCCCAGGCAAACAGAGGACTGAAGGAAAGCCAAGCTCCTAGTCCTCATGGGGTGCTCTGCTCCCATCCAGCAGCCGCCAGAAATGCGGAGCCTGGAGCCACGCATGACAGCGCCTCAAAAGGTTCCCTTCCTCTCCTCAGGGAGCTGGAGAGGCCCAGGACTTGCCAAGACCAAATTCCTGGCTGTCTCTGATGAGTCCCAGAAGAGGAGGGGGAGGGGCAGCTGCCTCCTTCGCTGAGTTGCAGCAGAGTCTGGCCTTCCAACAGGAACATAGGAAGCTGCCTTATAGCGAGTCAGACCTTTGATCTGTCCAGCTCTGGCTGGCAGCACTGGCCCTTCAGGGTTCCAGGCAGGAGCCTCCCCAGCCCCACGTGGAGATGCCAGGAGGGGCTGAACTGGGACCTCACTGCGTTACGGCCCTTTGGCAGTGGGTTTGGGCCCGGGGAGGGGGGTGGCTTCTGCAGGCTGAGCAAGGGCCTCTCCCTGAGCTACCTGCCCCCCTCCCCCATTCACAATGCTCCAAAGAACAGGCCAAACATCTGAGGATCCCATGACCCTCAACCCAGTTGCACAATCACGGCGCTGTTGTTTCTGACCAGAAGAAAGCGCCTAGGGCTTATCTGCACATTTCAGATTTGGGGGCTGGGCCCTCCATGTTGCGGAGCCTTTTCAGAGATTGTCTTGCCACTGCCTGGATGGGCCAAGGGACTTAGAACCCCACCCAGCCTGTTCCTGGTCAAGCCGCAGGCGGCTTTGTGGAGTTGGTCACACCCTGGGCTCCCTGTTAAAGCAGAACCTAGGGCCCTCTCCAGAGGAACCTCTGGCTGAAGGGCACCCCCAACCCTGCTCCCCAGACAGGCCCCAAGCTCCCCCAAGCAGGCACCTTCCCGAGGGAGCGGCTCTGCAATGGGGAGTCTCTGTGCCTCTGTCTCTCTTATTGATTGCATTCATTACAATTACTGGTATTCTCTGCCCTTCACTCAAAGGTTCCAGGGTAGAAACCTGCAGGGCAGCTCTCTGCCCCCTTGCAGACCAGTGGGGCAGCTGGTGGCTCCCTGGCTGGTCAGAGGGCAGCCCCTTTGGGTCCAGGGGGGCAGCACGCAGCAAGGCTCCTCCTCCCTGCAGCTTCTGCTACCGACTGAACTCCAGCCATTCTGGGGACTTGAAAGACAAACTAGCCAGCCAGAATTGTAGCAGGACATGGAAGGAGCACTTGCCAAGCAACAGGCAGATTTCAAGACCCAGGTCCGCCTGCCTCGGCCACTGGACATCTCGGCCTGCCTTCCTGAGTCGCGTCCAGTAGCATCCTTCCCCACACAAAAGGGGGGCCACGTTTGGCTTTGTGCTAGCGCTCATCACAGAACATCCCCCCACATTTCTCCGCCTGACCAATTCACCCTCTTCCACAGACAGACTTGGGGAGGGGGCATGCTCTATGGGAATTCTGTCAAGGGTGCTGTTGGGGGCTTCTGTCATGTGCATGCACAATTTCATTCTGCACGGGCAAAGATGGGCACAGTGCCGGATTTAAGTATAAGCTAAAAAGGCTATGGCTTAGGACCCCACTCTCTTGGCCCCCCCCCAAAATTTAAAGTGTAAAAACTGGGTGTACATTTCCAAAAGATAAGATAAAAAAAAAACTAAAATAAAACCTACAAACAGCAGCAGTGTTTTGTGTTCTGTAGGCTCCTGTGATGCAAGTCATAGGCCCCGCCTGCTCCCTCAAATATCCCTGGTTTGCTCCTTTCTATATATAGGGTGCCTCCATTCTGCATGGACAGCTTGCACGGCAACATGGGCAAATGGCTTGAGATACCTATGATGTCCATACATTACCATATAGCAGCGACAATTTGTTGTTGACAAAGGACAGCTGGACATAGAAAGGGCGCCATTACCTTCAGGAGCTGAGGACCGCATCAAACCTCAATCCGGCCCTGGTCGGACACCAGCAGCCCCCCCCCGGGGGTGATAGATGCCCCCTCTCCCTGCTCCGCAGCCGGGTTCGTGCAAAGCCCACCGATTGCGCGCCACCCAGAATCTGCGTCTTGCTCCTCGGAGGCTGAGGCTGCGCGGGCCACGACAGCCCCTTCCCGGAGCCCAGAGGTGGGGGGCTCGCTCTGCCTGGCCCCCGCGGCTGCCCCCCCCTCCGCCCGCCCGCCCGCAGGCAGCGCGCCTCGCCCGCCCACTTGCCAGGACCCCTCTGGCCAGGGAGGGCGGCGGCGCCTCGGCTCCCCTCCCGGGGGATCCGCGGCAGAAGAGGGCAGTCGAGCTCCGGGCCCCCTTCTCCGGCGGGGCGGGCCGGCTTCTGCCGCCGCCAGGACCCGGAGGCCTCGGTGGGGCGCCCGAGGGCAGCGCAGATCGCGGCGGCGCTCGGACCCGGGGCGGCTTCCCGAGCCGCCGCGACAGCCGCGCCTTCCGCGCCGGGAGCGGCGGCGGGGAGGCGGGGAGGCGGAGCGGCGGGCGGAGCTGAGCCCGGGCCCGCCCCGGCAGCGGGGGCTCGGGCGGCGGAGGCGGCGGAGCGGCGGCCGGGCAGCGGCGGGACGGAGGCTGCAGCTGCGCCAGCGGCGCGTCCGTCCTCCGGGCGGCATGTCGGGCGCGGCGGAGCCGGAGGCGGCGGCGGTGCCGGTGTCGGCGGCGTCGCAGGAGGAGAGCGAGGACGAGAGCGAGGTGCTGGAGGAGAGTCCCTGCGGCCGCTGGCAGAAGCGCAAGGAGCAGGTAGCGGCGGCGGAGCCGAGGGCGGGCAGCTCCCGGAGACAGCGGGCCGCGGGGTCCACGAGCGGCAGGAGGGGCGCCCCGAGGGTCTGCGCCGCGCATCCGGCGGGCCAGGGCTGCCCCCCAAGCTGCGGCGGGGACCGGGCAGGACGGAGGCCGAGCCGGGCTTCCTCGGTGCCGGGCGAGCCGGGTCTGCAGCGCCCCGGTGCCTCCCTGCCCGACTCCCCCCTTGCCTCGGCGGGCGTCGCAGCTCTGCCTTGCTTGGTCTCCGCGCCAACCCGGCGAGGTGGGCTGGCGAGGGGCGGCAGGAGAGCGGGGCTCCCGGGACCCGTCGGCGCACCTCGCAGTCGCCTCCCCGCCCCCCGCCTCGAGGGGGAGCCGCGGGGTTCCTGCAAAACAGGGCAGGGGGGCAGCCCCGGTGCGGAGCCGGGGAGGGGGGGGGGTCCCAGGCGGGCCCCTTGCTTTCGGTCGGGCGCTTGTCCCGGCCTCTCGTGGGCTGCTTATCTGGATGTGGCGCCCCAGAAGCGAAGTGGGGCCGGGAGGCAGCCCAGCTCAACCCCCTTCCGCTAGGGCGAGGCAGAGTCCTGGAGGCGGCAGGGGGCTTTGCCCTCCTGGCTCTTGCGCCCCCCTTAGCCAGCCCCGCCTCGCCACATAGTCAGAAGACAGTTCCCTCCTGTCGCCCACAGACAGAGCATGTCTTTGGCTGGGTCCCTGCCCTCCTGAACAAATCTCTCCTTCGGGAGGAAGCCTCCGAGTCCCCCTCCATTTGGAGAAGGGGCACCCTCTCCCTGGCACAGGACCCGCCTTCTTTGCACGGGGGCAGAGCCCCCCCCCATTGCCCTCCCCCCAGGCGCCTCTGGTGCTCCTGCTCCTGATAAGGCCCATGTTTGCCTTCAGGGGAGGCCCCCGGGGAGGCCTGCTTGCCCAGTGTTGGGGGGCCTGCCCCATGGGCCCCAGCCACGATAGTGGGGGCAGCCAGGAGCCAGCTGGGAAGAGGGGCTCTGGTGGGATCTGTTTGCTCAGTGCAGGCAACCCCACTTCCTCCTAGGCTAGGCCCGCCCCACAGCACGCAGGCAGTGTGACCCCCTCCTTCTTACCAGCGTGGCTTAACCTGCCTGGGAATGTGGCTCCCTGAGCTGCACTCTGCACTCGCCCAGAGACACACCTGAGATTTTGCCTGTGTTTCTGCTGGCCAGCTGGCCAGGACTAAGCTCTCTCTCCTCTTCCGGGGTCTCCTTTCTGCCTTCCCCAGTGCCTGCCTCAGGATCACTCTGCAGCGGGGGGGGGGGGGGGGCTGCTGGGACCCTGCCATTGCCCCGCTCTCCAAGTGCCAGGGAAGGGGATCCTGCCCAGATGGCCTCGCTGCCGCTCTGAGGCCCAGGGTGGAGCTCCCGCTCTTGGCTCTGCCCAGTGCCAGAGAGGCTCTTGCCCTCCTGGTCACTCATTCCCGGGCCTCTGCGCACAGCGTGGCTGCATCCCAGTCCAAAGGGTCTCAGGAGCCAAGGCCTTTGCTGGCAGAATGCAAACACAGGCTGGCGCATCCCAGGCAAGGCAGGGCAATTTCTTCTGCGCTGACCTCCCCACCTCCGCTGTTTGCAAAGCCTTGGCAGCTTCAGGCTTCCATTGGCACAAAACGGGTCTATGGAACCGCCTGCCACTGGCCTGGCTGATGCCACTGGCACCAAGAGCCAAAGTGCCAGCAGTCCTTGCTATGACCCACCTCCTGCCGAGGGGGGCTTCTCCCTCGTGGGGGTCGCCACCATTGCCAAAGCTGCCTCAGGAGCCTGGCCCACCCATTGGGCCACTTGCTCTGGCCTCTGGGGACAAGCCTGGATGTGCTGGTGTCCCTCTGGGGCTGGGCAGACTTCTGGAGCCCCACAGGGCCAGATCGGTGATCCCTGTCTTCTCAAAGAAAATGTCCATGTAGAGAATGGGAAGCTTGGAGGGTTGTTTTTTTAAAATAATACTCAAGCAATATATGCAGTTAATGGAAAAAAATGCCTAGAACAAGCTGTGGGTCTGGCCTGCCCCCCTCTCCCTCCCCGCTTTGCCTCCTGCTCTTATTAAGGAAGAAAGTCCTGCCAACCACCCTCCACTTCTGCTCCTGGGTAGAGGATCCTTGAATAAGCATGGGTGGGGTGCCATGGGTGGAGGGGGTGGGTGCTAGCCAGGAGGCCCACAGGTGACCTCTGCAGAAGGGCTGCTTATCTTGCAGCAGACCTGGGCTCTGGGCTGGCTTATCAGGGCCTCCTGCTGTGCCAGGCTTAGGGGGGGGGAGGGGGGCTTTGGCCTTCAGTTCGGCCTTCAGCCCCTCCAGACCTGCTGCCTGCCTGCCCAGCCTGCTCCACTTTGCTCTGGAATGAGGCCTCTTGAGGAATTATTATTATTATTATTATTATTATTATTATTATTATTATTTTATTTTCTTGCCTTCTTCCCCAACAGGGTCTCAGGGCACCTTACAGATAAAATACAAGCAGCTAAAATATAGGGGGAAAGCAATAACGAAAAAACAATTAAACATTAGTACAATTAAACAATGTGAATATAAAAAAACCACTAAAGCATTAGAATATAAACACCGCAGGACCCGCCCTTTCCTTAAATAACAGTCGGTTCCCAAAGGCCAGTCAAAATAAAACTGTCTTCACCTCCTGTGGAAGGTGTGCAAGGAGGGAGCCCAGCCCATCTGGCTTCTGAGGTCCCAAAGTTGTGGGAGAGCAGTCACCACCGAGAGAGAAGTCCCTCTCCCGTGTTCCTTCTGCCTTCCTGGATTGTGGCCTGGCTGTGTGTCTGAGGAAGGCAGGCAGAGGCAGAGAGGAGGGAAAGGAGGGAAATGGTGTCATGGTGCAGAGGCCCTCTTGGTCTCATATCGCCTCTATGGGGGGGATCTCTAGCTCCTTTTGCAAAAGGGACTTCAAGGGACTTTCTTTGCAAAAGTGTCCCCTCACAAAATGACCCTTTTTTAAAAAAAAAAATAATTTTTATTAATTTTCCAAGCATATAATAAAAACAAACAATCAAACAAAACAAACAAAACATACAAACATATAAACATGTATACTTTCGTAATCTTATCTTCCTACACCTTGCTTCCCGGACTTCCCCATACCTCCCCTTTTCTGCATCCTTGTTTTTACCTTTCTTCAGCAACCCTCCAACTGATTAATTAATTCACTTTCATTCTAATTTCCTTAACTTATTGTTTACAGCTGCAATTCTCTATTTCTTAACACCTTAACATCTCATTACACTTCAATTTTACAACAATTTTTAAGGTAAATTTTAAATTTCTTCCAGTCTTCTTCCACTGTCTCTTTCCCCTGGTCATGGATTCTGCCGGTCATCTCTGCCAATCCCATGTAGTCGATCACCTTCGCTTGCCATTCTTCCAGAGTGGGTAACTCTTGTGTCTTCCAATACTTTGCCAAAAGAATTCTTGCTGCTGCAGTAGCATACATAAAAAACGTCCTATCCTTCCTTGTCACCAATTGGCCAACCATGCCCAGGAGAAAAGCCTCAGGCTTTTTAGAGAAGGTCCATTTAAGAACCTTCTTAATTTCATTATAGATCATTTCCCAAAAGGCTTTAATCTTCGGGCATGTCCACCAAAGGTGATAAAAGGTACCTTCAGTCTCATTACATTTCCAGCATTTGTTGTTGGGCAAATGATAAATTTTTGCAAGCTTGACTGGGGTCATGTACCACCTGTAAATCATTTTCATAATGTTAGGAAAGCATTATACAATGTGTGGATAAGATACAAAGACCTATTGGAAAGCAAAACTCCCAGGTGGTTATCACCAATGGAAGCTAAAGAGACTAAAAAACTTAATATGGAGTCGAAATGGCCAAAATACTGTGAAATCTTAGAACAAGACGGAGAAAGAGTTAAACTACAGAGTTATGAGAAATTAAAATCTAAGGTAATAGACTGGTTGCATTACCTCCAGATAAACGAGGTATTTAAACAGGACAGGAAAATAGGTTTCCAGATGGAGAGGTCAAAATTAGAAACAGAACTGTTAGAATCCAATACTAAGAACTTGTCAGGAATGTATAATTTGCTGTTGAAATGGAATACACAGGATGAAACGGTTAAATCAGCTATGATTAAATGGGCACAAGACATTGGTCATGATATTATGTTTGCTGACTGGGAACAGTTATGGAATACTGGTGTTAAGTTTACGGCATGTAATGCATTAAGAGAAAACAAAATGACCCTTAAAGGCCCAGGAGCAGCCCGCCCCCCTTGGCAGCTGCCTCTCTTGCAGTCTCAGAGACCGCAAGGCTTCCACATGCCTGGCCCTGTTTGCCTCCTGGGTCTCGCAATGCAGTTGCCATGACTACAGCTTCTCCAGAGCAGCTGTGGTACCCAGCCAGATGGCCCTGCAGCATCTTGTTGGCTGGTGAGCCAAGCCCTCTTGCTCCTCATTGGCTGCCTGGGATGGGAGGGGGAAAGCAGAAAGGAAGCACCTCCAGCCTCTGAAGAGGCCAGAGACTATCTTGGTTGTGAGTTTTGGTGAACCTGCTCCCAGCCTTGCTGGCTGTTTCTCCACCTGGCCTGGGAGGATGGAGTTCAGACTGACTCCAACTACGAAAGCAGAGGCTGCTGAACAGACTCATGGGCTGGGGTGCTGTTTGGGTTTCTTCTGTTGTCAGGGTTGTTGCTGTTAGTTTTTTGTATCTTTTGTATCTTTATTTTGTATCTTGTGATTTATGTGGAAACTGTTCAGTTTGGTTATATACTTTTTAGTATTTCGTTTATTGTTTATGACCACTTTTGTTATGTTGTTGTTAGTATTTTTTCTTCCTGTAAGCTGCCTTGGGCCAGGGCTTTTGCCCGAGGAATTTCTCACCAGCATCAGCACGATGTTCTTGTGGCAGTTGTCAGGCATCCTTCCCCCAGAGAGGGTGGTTGTTAAGGACATTTATCTCACGTCTTCCCAACAGAATGTTGCTCAAGGCAATCAATGATTAAAAAAATGAAGCTCATCAAAATTCAAATTAAAACATTTATAAACCGCACACCAAAGGTATAAGCAGAGCTGGAAACCAAAATGGTTTCAATTATATCAGCAGCCAATGCAAAGCCAGCCACTGAAAGTCAGCAGCAGAGCCAGTGGGAAGGAGCCGTTGCCTCCCCCCCCCACCCCATTTGCCCCCTGGAAGGCTGTCAAAGAGGAGGTTGGACTTCCCAAAGGAAGGTCTCCCAAGACCTGCCTCTGGCCACTGACGCTCCTCCCCATCTCCTTTGCTGCCCCCCAGGGTGTCTGTGTGATGCTGCCTCTCTCCTTTTCAATCCCTCCCTGAAACGTCAGGCTCCCGTCTGGACCCCGCCATCCTCCCCCCCCCCAGGAAATGAATTTGCCCAGCTTGCCCAGGTTCCGCCCTCACTGTGCCTCCCCACCCTTCATTCATTTAAAACGGTTGTCCTCTGCACCCCCCCCCCCCGGCCACAAAGCCAGAGGCGAAAGAGTAATGAACCCTTTTGCACAAGCAAAGCAGTCTCAGCCTTTTCTGCACAGCAATGGTGGGGGCTGTTGGACGAAGAAATGCCTGTGTGTCCCCCCCCCCGCAGTCCTTTTTGGGCTTTGCTCCTGGGGACCCTGCCCCGGGGTTGCTTAATCAAAAGGTGCCCCAAAGACTGGCTCTGGGGTGAGTCACTCCCCCTTGGTCTCTTGTGGGGGGACGTAGACCTTCAATTAGACGTTTTCCGGGGGGGGGGAGTTAGTCTGATGTCCACTTTGGCTGGCCCTTTTGCAATCCCAACTAAGAGACTGGCAAGCGGGTGGCGCCTGCCCATCATGTGGGGAAGGTGGGCGGATTGCGACCTGTTTCAGTGGCAATGGGCAGTGGGGTCGGAGGCCTTCCCTGGTTGGGCTTGGCCACTGGCCCAACTGTGGCTTCCTCCGCACCTTGGCCAGGGGGCAGGCAGGGTCCTTCCTGGCAGACGCTGCCTCTGAGAGCCCCTTCCCTCTTGGTGGGTCTCCTTGGCACGGTGCCCATGTGAGGGGTGCCCTGTTCTTGCAAGTTGCCAAGGTGTCTCATCCCAGGCACACCTTTCTGGGCCTTTGACCGAGGGGGTCCCCATGCCAGCTAGCCGGGTAGCCAGCAGCAGAGCCACCCCAGGGTGAAGGCGGCTGGTTTCTGGCCCTGGCAACCCCACTCCTTGGCCTGGGGGGAGGCAGGTGGCCGGGCGTGGGGGAGGATGGGGACAATGGGGCCTCTTTGTTCCCCTGGCAGGAACTGGGCCATGAGGCGCGGCTGCCAGGACGGCTCCATCTTCCCCTCTTAATGAACTCGGGCTGGCGCTGCGGCTGGAGGCCTTTGTCCCTCCTGGCCTGCCAAGGCAGACGTCTGCTGGTGCCCCAAGCCCTGGCAGGCGGATGGGACAGGGTGTCCTCTCTGGGCCACAAACAATCCTGCCTTTCAGCAGGTGCTGGGCCAGCTCTTGCCTCCCCCCCCCTGCCAGCGCCTGCTGCTGTCGGAGGCCCCACAGCAAGGAGGCAGGTGCCCAAGGGCCGAGGGGTTGGCACAGCCCCCCTGCAGGGCATGCCCTCGGTCCCGCATCCAGGAGCCAGCCCTCTGCCTCAACTTCCCCTGTGGCAGGAGTGGCCAGCCAGGCAGGAGAGCAGGACGGAGCCCAGGGCTGTGCTGGCAGGCTGCCTTTTGCCCTTGCCTAGCAACAGCCGGGGCCTTGTTTTTCCCCGCCCATTTCTGCCAAGGAGATGTGCTGGGTCTGGGCCCAGGTAGCTTGGCCAATTGGGGGGCCATGGCGATCTCTCTCCCCCCCCCAGGGAACCACTGGCTACATTCCCCGCCCCCCAAGCATCCTGGGAATCTCAGCGTTTGTTTACTAAAAGATATCCCACATTCCTTTGCCTGCCCCATAGAGGCTGGGAAAGTGTGCCTCCTGCCCCATCCCCATCAGCCTCTGTGCCCCCCACAGAGGCTGAGTAGCAGGGCAGGAGCCCAATAGACCCCCCCACACACATGCACACCCTTCCTTGTATTCGGAAATATACTGCCTTTGATCATGGGAGTTAGCTTAGCAAATTTATTAATAGTTTCCCACAGCAGATGGTCCCACAGCGATTTAGAAGAATAAAATACAACGAAGCAGAATAAAATACATGAACATATTGTCATAACAAAAATAAAAGCATCCAGTCGCTGGTGCTGCCCAGAAAGGCAAAGACAGATCTGCATGGCACTGAAAATAAGACAAGCTGGAGGCAGATGGGTCTCCTGGGGGCGGGGCATTTTCTAGCTGGGAAGCCACTGCAGAAAAGGCCCATTCTCTCCTCGCCAGCCCTGAGGACAGAAACAGCTGGCAGGATCAGGCCAGTGGCCCATCTAGTCCAGCACCCTGTTCTCCCAGTGGCCAACCAGATGCTTGTTGTAGGAAACCTGCAGGCAGGATCCAGGCTCCAGAGCAACTCTCTCCTGCTGCGCTTTCCAGAAAGGGGCATTCAGGAGCATTGCAGAGCCTGGCAATTGGGACTGGTGGCCTCCACTAGCCCTGTCCTCTGGGGGGTTGTCTAATCCTGTTTAAAGGCCTCCCAGCCTCCTGTGGGTGAGAGTTCCACAGTTGGACTCTGGGCTTCTTTCTTTGATCTGCCCTGAATCTTCCAGCATTCAGCTTCACTGAAGGTCCCGGAGTTCCAGCGCTACGACGGGGAGGAAAACCTTTCCTCTCTCCACTTCCTTTGTGCCAGGCATCCTTGCAGAGGCTGCCCCTTCCTCGCCTTTTCTCTAAACTTAAAAGTCCCAAATACTTCAACCTTCTTTCACTGGGGAGTCGATCCACCCCCAGATCACTTTGCTGGTCCTTTAGCTCTCCTGGGAGATGGCACACCCAGAAGGGCCTCAGGTGGGGATCTCTGGGACTAGGCAGACAGAGAGAGACAGTCCTCTGGGGTTAGGAGTCAGGAGCCGTGGGAGATTTAAAAGGCCGAAACCATCTCTTTGAATTAGGCCAGAGCAGTTTCCACAAGAAACAGTGTTAAATGTTGTTGTTGTTGACCACCATTCATAGGTATCAGGGCAGTTCACAACATAAAAATACAAGATAAATAACACAGAATACAAAACGAAAATGAAGCAATCACCCACATCCCCTCCTGCAAACAGATCTGCTCCTCCTTGTTCCCGTCGGCCACAGAGCCCTGCCTTCTGCAAGAGCCAGATTCCAGGCCGTCTCCAAAGGCAGCCCCATGCATTGCAGCACTCTCCCAGTGCTTGTCTGGGGCCGTGACTCCGCTGTGCTCTGGGGGGGCAGGGCCCACATCCCGCAGCTGCTCTGAGCCTCTTGCGCGCTGAAGCTGCGTCTCTCCCCACAGGTCAACCAGGGCAACATGCCTGGACTGCAGAGCACCTTCCTGGCCATGGACACAGAGGAAGGCGTGGAGGTTGTGTGGAACGAGCTGCAGTTCACCGACAAGGCGGCCTTCAAAGCTCATGAGGTGAGGCTGGCAACCCCCTAGACCTTGGGGGTGGTGCACGCCAAGCGCTCTTCCCCAAAAGAGGCGGCGCCTCACCCTGCCCAGCTCCAGACCCCCAGCTTGTTCCCCATGGCTGAGTCTCCCCTCCCTGCCCACTTCCTCTGGCAACAGGAGAAGATCAAGACCATGTTTGAGCAGCTGGTTGTCGTTGACCACCCCAACATCGTGAAGGTCCACAAGTACTGGCTGGATGTGAAGGAAATCAAGGCCCAGGTGAGGCAGGAGCCCCCCCCCCCCGAGGCTTGGCAGGGCTGCCCCCAGCCCTAGGGATAAGCTCCCTCCAGGATACGGGCCCAGACCTGACCCTGAGTGGGGAAACGGGTTGAGGGTGACCACCCTGGGGGAGGTGAGCTTGTGTAGGGGTCTCAGGGGCAGAGGAACGGCTTTCCAGGTGGAAGCCCTTGGGTTCAATCCTGGCAGCATCTCCCATCTCAGCTGGAGCGGCAGCGGCTGCTGAGGCTGCCAGCGCAGGGCTGGCTTGGCAAGACCCTCCTGCGATTCTGGAGAGCCACTGCTGCTGCTCCAGGTGACCGAGAGCCTAACTTGGTCATGCCAGGGTGGGGGGCAGCCCCACACATCCAAAGTCTTGTGCCCATGCCCTGGTTTCGACAAAGCCGTTGTGTACGAAAGAACCACCTGGCTGGTGCCCAGAAAGAAAGCTCCAGGGCAGGATCCTAAGCATAGTAAGAGCCTGGCAGAAGGGAGGATTCCTAGAACCCTCTTTCTGTTGGGGGGCTGGGTTTGTCTTTGGGCGCCCATTTCCAGACCTTGCCCGTGAAGGAGCCTCTCCCCCTTGGGGCTGCTGTGGGAAATGTGGTGCCTGAGATGCTTCCTGGGGCATCAGGTCAATCCCTCAGCTCATCCACCTGGTCCCCCCCACCAGGTGATCTTCATCACAGAGTACGTCTCCTCCGGAAGCCTGAAGCAGTTCCTCAAGAAGACCAAGAAGAACCACAAGGCTATGAATGCCCGGGTAGGACCCCTGCCCTGCCCCCCAACCCCCACTTCCCCCAAGCCAGGCAAGGAGCACTTCCCCCAGGCCCCTGCAGGGATGCTCCAGCTTGCCCCCCAGGGCGACAGGTGTGGTACAAGGGCGGGGGGGGGGGGAGCTGGGGGAGAGCCAGAGGAACCCTTGCAGCAGGAGCAGCAGGTCAGGCAAGACAGATCTTCCTCTGAAGGAAGCTACTCCCCGCAGGCTGACCGGGGCCCCCCGATGGGTGGGTGAAGGTGGATTCAGGGCAGGCGGCTGCCCTGTCCAGGTGGCAGCTGCTCCTGTTGAGCGAAAAAGGCACTGAGTCGATGTGGTGGCCCCCCGTGGGTGTCTCCTGAGCTGACTTGATCTCTCATTGCTCCCCCTACCAAAAAAACAAAACAGGCTTGGAAGCGCTGGTGCACTCAGATCCTCTCGGCCCTCAGGTGAGCCTCCGCTGCTGCTGCTCCCCCCGCAGTGCCTCAGCCCCACCCTCTCTGTGGGGAGAAGCAGTCCAATGCCCCTCGACTCCCTTCCTCTTGCAGCTACCTGCACTCTTGCGACCCCCCCATCATCCATGGGAATCTCACCAGTGACACCATCTTCATCCAGCACAATGGACTCATCAAGATTGGGTCAGGTACGGAGCGGGTCCTGGGCCTTGGCAGGAGGGACCCCCCCCCGGGGGGTGTGGTGGGGGGTAAAGAACCGCCTTTGCTACCCGTGGGGCAAACTGACATGGGAGGACCTGGTCCGGCCCCCACAGCTCCCCCCCCCCCCGTGGCCTGGCAGGGTCCTCAAGGCTACACTTGAAAGCCTTTCCCCTCCTGCTTCACAGAACCACGTGCTTTTCAGTAACTCTCCCTCTCTGTTCTCTCCCTGCAGTTTGGCACAGAGTCTTTGCGAAGGGTAAGTGCTGCCTCTTCCTCTTGCCCCCCAAACGTATTCCCGACCCCGTTCCATAGGGAGCGACAGGCGGGTTTTCCTCCGCATTCTTCAGGGCTCCAGGTCTTGTGTTTGACCAGAGGCAGCACAGCCACCCGAAGTTCCAGGAGTGCTGGATTGCTTCCTTGTGAAGACCTTCTCTGGGTCACTTGGGCTTCGGGGGCAATGGAGTGTATGTGTGTTGGGGGGGGGTCCCCGTCCTCTGTTCTGGCCCCCAGTCCATTCCTGGAGGCTGTGGGATCTCTCGCAACCTGCTGCCTGGGGGAGGATGGGCCCCTATGGACACTCCATGCACTGTCACTTACGGTAAGCCCTTCAGAAGCATCGCTGCCTCTGGCTGTGGAAGGCAGAGCAGAGCCATGGTGGCTGCAGCCATCAATGGCCCTCTTCTCCGTGAAGTTGTGCAACCCTCTTTTCAAGGCCTCCACGCTGGTGGCTGCCACTGGCTCCTGCAGGAGGGAGTTCCATAGTTTAATCCTTGTATCCGCCCTGAATGCTCCAGCCTTCCTCTCCCTTCTCCCCGTCCCACAGCCATCCCGCCTGAGCTCCGCAGCCCCATCCGTGCCGAGCGAGAGGAGCAGCGCAACCTGCACTTCTTCCCCCCGGAGTACGGGCGTGAGTAGTGGTGCAAGAGCCCGCTGGAGGGTGGGCGGGGCTTCCTTGGAGGCGGGGCTTCCCTGGAGGCGGGGCTTTGGCCAGCTGGGTCTGGTTGTGCTTGCTTTTTCAGACGTGGCGGATGGGACGGCCGTGGACATCTTCTCCTTTGGGATGTGCGCTCTGGAGGTAGGGAATCTGGGGAGTGCGGATGGCCACGCAGGGGCCTTGGTGACCCTGCCCTTGGGGGGGGGTGGCCCCTTCCCCACATCCACCACCTCTTCCGCAGGGGGCTTCTTCCCAGGCCAGCACTGTCTTCTGGCAAAAGGGTTGCTGCGAGCCATGCTGCCCCTTTTGTTCTGCCCCAGCTTCACCCCCTTGCCCCCTTCCCTCTGCTTCTCCCCACAGATGGCGGTGCTGGAGATCCAGTCCAATGGGGACACCTACGTGTCGGAGGAGGCAATTGAGCGGGCGAGGCATTCTCTGGATGACCCCATCATGCGGGTGAGAAGAGCCTCTTGGCCACCTCCCCACAGGGGTGGCACAGCAGGGGATCAGGCTCCCTGCCTGTCTGGTGGCTGTGGCAACCCTCTGCCCCCACCCCCATTGTAGACGCCTGGAATGCCCCACTGCCCTTTCTCTGAGGGCGAATGCTGCCAGGCGGCCTTGAGAGGATGAGCAGCATGACAGTGAGGCTGCCTGGCTCCTCCCCAAGTCCTGCTGCTGTGGCAAAGCCCGGACACCTCTGGACGTTGCAGGGGAATCTGGCTTCCCAGCAAACCAGGAACGAGCCTTGGCTTCAGCTGGAGGGCTGTGTTGGGAGTCTGGGGCCTCTGCTGGCAGCACCAGGATGGACAGATGGACGGATGGAGCTTGCGCCTCCTCCCTGCCAAGCCATCGCTGGGCTTAGTGTGACGCATGAACTAGGCCAGGGACGTCCAACTCCCAATAGACTGCGATCTGCTCACAGTATTAAAAAACTGGCAGTGATCAACCATTGTTGCAAAAAGACTGGCAGCAATCTACCCAAAGTTGTGGGGCTTTTTTTAGGAAGCCAAAGTTGGGGTGTTTTGTTTTGTTTTTTCTTTTTTTGCTTTTTTGTAAGGAGATGGCTGAGGGGCCAGAGGTCAGCCACGATCTAGAAGAAACACACCGTGATCTACCAGTAGATCATGATCTATCTGTTGGAGACGCCTGAACCAAAGGCTTGGGACGCCCCATGGCTGCGGGGGAGGTGGGCAGCTTTACTGCAGAGGAAGAGCCTGCTGGATCAGGCCAAAGGGGTCATCTAGTCCAGCATCCTCTTCTCACAGTGGCCAACCTGGTGCCCATTGTGGGAAACCTGCAAGCAGGGTTCTGTCCCCCTATGGCATGGGTAGGCAAACCAAGGCCCAGGGGCTGGATCCGGCCCAATCACCTTCTAAATCTGGACTGCGGATGGTCCGGAAATGGCATGTTTTTACATGAGAAGAATGTGTCCTTTTATTTAAAATGCATCTCTGGGTTATTTGGAGGGCATAGGAATTCGTTCCTCCCCCCCTTCAAAATATAGTCTGGCCCCCACAAGGTCTGAGGGACAGTGGAGCGGCCCCCTGCTGAAAAGGTTTGCTGCCCCCTGCCCCATGGTTTCCGCCCACTGGAATTGAGAAGCCCCTCTGCCCCCAGCTGTGGAGACAGCCACCTCCATGCAGATCATGCTTCAGCCCCTTTGGCAATCCCAGTTCTGGGTCCAGCAGGGCCTCAGAGGCCAGAGCCAAGGGGAGGGGTAGCCAATGTGTGTCCCACGTGGCAATTCCCTGGCAGTGTCTCAGCTGCCCACTTCTGCGCTCCCTGCCCTTTCTCCTGCTTTGCCCGGACACTCTGGCCACTGATCTGTGGCTTTTCCTGGCCGGCCTCTTGGCTGTGGTGCCCGGCTCTCCTAGCAGGAGGCTGGCGCTGAGCCCGGCTTCCCCTTAAGACACCCCCCCCCGCTGCCCCTGTGTCCTTGCAGGAGTTCATCCTGGGCTGCCTCCTCCTGAACCCGGACCGGCGTCCTTCGGCTCACAACCTCCTTTTCCACCGCGTCCTCTTTGAGGTCCACTCCCTGAAGCTCCTGGCCGCTCACTGCTTCATCAGCAACCAGTGTGAGTTGGGGAGGGGGTGGGAGTGGGGGCAGCTGGGAAGGGCGCCCCCCCCCCCGGCCAGGCCGTCCTGCTTCAGCCCCAACCAGCCCTGCCTGCCTGATTCTTGCAGACCTGTGGCCTGAGAATGTGGTGGAAGAGAAAACCAAGCAGCTAGACCTCAGCATCGTCATGGCAGAGATCCAGCGAGAGGGTCGCCCGCCTGTGCAGTGGAGGTGGGCAGCCAGGGAGATGGGTGGGGCTGGGCAAAGGGAACCTCCCTCCACCCCCAACCAGCCAGCCAGCCAGCTCCTCCACACCAGTGTGGCGCAGGGGTTCAGAGCGGTGGACTCGTAATCTGGGGAACCGGGTTCGCTTCCCTGCTCCTCCACCTGCAGCTGCTGGGTGACCTTGGGCCAGTCACACTTCTCTGAAGTCTCCCAGCCCCACTCACCTCACAGAGTGTTTGTTGTGGGGAGGGAGGTCACCTTGTGGGAGAGGAAGGGAAAGGAGATTGTGAGCCGCTTCGAGACTCCTTAGGGTAGTGATAAAGCGGGATATCAAATCCAAACTCCTCTTCTTCTTCTCCACTTTAGATACTCAGAAGTTTCCTTCCTGGAGCTGGACAAGTTCCTGGAGGATGTGAGGTGAGTCTGTGCACGGGCTGCACGTGTGGGTCCCCCTGCCCCCTTCATGCCCCACAGCAGGATTCCAAGGGTGTGGGCCTCTTGCGTTCTGGGACTGCAGAGGGGCAGCCCTGCTTTTTGCCTCCCCCCCTCCAGGAATGGGGGGTGGGGCAGACGGACGGATGAAGAAGCAGAGCTGCTGCTCTCTTAGGGGGCTGAGCCCCAGAGCCCCCTCTCCCCCTCCCCTCTTGGGCTCTGGCTGCCAGTCTCCCCCGGGATGTGGGGTCCATGGGGCTGATGCTCCCAGCTGGCCTGTCTTTCTCTCCTTTCACCCCAGGAATGGCATTTATCCCCTGATGAACTTTGCTGCTACCCGCCCCCACACGCTCCCCAGATCGACATCCCAGCCCCCCGAGGACCCTCAGAAGGCCAAGACGCCCACGCCAGAGCCCTTTGATGTGGAGACCAGAAAGGTAAGAGCAGCTTTGCAGAGCTGCAACGGAGCGGCCAGAGGGTCTGCTCTGCATGCGCGAGATCCTGACCTCAGCCCCCCAAGGGCATCTTTGGGGTGGGGGGCCTGGAAAGACCCCAGCCTGCATCCCTGGTGGAAACCAGTGTAGGCTGGGTGGAGCCCCAGGGCTCTGGCCTCAGCGCCCACAGGGGACCCTCTTCCCCAGCCTCCCCTCCAGCGTGGGGTGGGGGCCAAGGAGCCCCCTCCTGAGGAGTGTCCCTGCCTCTCCCCCCCCCAGGTGGTGCAGATGCAGTGCGGCATGGAGTGGAGCGAAGAGAAGAGGCAATGGCGGGTACGTCTCCCCCCTTCCTGGGCAGGGCTGGGGAAGAGGGCAGGAGGGAGCCCTGGCTGTGGGGCAGAGGAGAGGCGGCAGCTCTGTGGGTGCCCTGCAGGCGCCGTCAGCCAGCCTCCCCTTCTCACACATGGGGAGGGGAGGATTCTCCCTCAAGAACTCCCCCCCCCATACACTCTCCTTGTGTGTCCTCCCAGCTCACGCTCCTTCTGGTCCTGGAAGACAAACTTCACCGCCAGCTGAGCTACGACCTGCTGCCAAGTGAGTGGACTCCCCATTCCTCCAGGGCAGGTGGGCCTCCCCTGTACCCACCCCCTCACAGTTGCCTGGTTCTTGGACCCGAGACATTGGTGGGGGGCTCCCAGTGGCACAGCCATGGCCTTGGGGGGCTGCTTTGTTGGCCTGGGGTCAGCGGTGCCTCCCACGCTTTGTGGGGGTCCCTTCCCATGCCAGTCTTCCTTTCGCCTCTCACTTACTGCCACGAGGCTTGAAATACCCGCCGACCCTCCGGCCCTTTGGTGCCCCCCCCCTTCAGCAGCTCCTCCTCCTCCTCCTCCTCCGCAGATGACAATCCCAAGGACTTGGCCATGGAGCTTGTGCACTATGGATTCATCAGCCCGGTGAGCGTCTTCAGGGCCCACCCCCTGGTGAAGGGGGGGGGGGAGGGAAGCAAATGAGAGAGAAAAGGAAGGTTTGTTTGAGGCAAGAGCTCTGGTCCTGCTCCTCCCAGGGATTAAGCAGGTGAAAAACAGGTGGGGCTGCATTTTTCAATCCAGTTCTGTCTGCCTAGGAAAATAATCCAAGCTGTCAAGTTCCACAAGCGCTTTCTCTCTCTCTTTCTTTCTTTCTTTCTTTCTTTCTTTCTTTCTTTCTTTCTTCTTTCTTCCTTTCTTCTCCCCTTTCTCTTTGTGTGCCTTTTTCTGCGTAGCCTCTGCCCCTCCCTACCGAGCGTGGCCAGTGGCTACAGTGGGAGTTGTGGATCAACAATTCCCGGAGGGCGACAGCCCCCACCTCCAGCCCCCCACCCCTGCTGGGCTGTGGGCACCTGCCTTCCTGATCCCCCTCAGTCAGCTGACAAAGGCCCTCCTCTTCCAGGGCTACCCTCTCAAACTCAGTTTATGATACAATACGATAATCTTTATTGTTATTGTCCCATAGAACAGAACAACGAAAAAATCTACACCAGACATTCAAAACCCAACAAGCCTGCTATCCCAGCTATCCCAGCCTGGTTAACCCCCTAAAAACTCTGATACCCCATAATTAAATACAATATACTCCCACAGAGACTACCTTACACTGCGTTTAAAACCAAAATCGCATTTGGATAAAAACTCTTTCTCAGGGGGGGGTTTGCTGAGCCACATGCAAAGCTGCAGAGGCAGATGGCCAATTCTCCACCCTCTTTTTCAAATCTATTTTGATTATTACATTTCTATCCCCCCTTTCCTGCCAAGAAGCTTAAAGCGGCACACACGGTGCTCCCCTCCCCATTTCATCCTCGCATCAACCCTGTCAGCCAGGCGAGGGATGGCAACTGGCCCAAGGTCACCTGGCAGGGGGACGAGAGCCAGCTCAGAGCCAGCCCTGTGTTCGATTTCTTGCTGGGTTCCCTGGAAGTTGGGGGCAGAGAGAAAGGGCATGGAAGAGCTGGGGCGGAAGGCAGTGGGGCAAATGCCCCAGGCTCCCCCTAGGGACCAACTGGGAGGAGGAGGGGGGCTGCCACTGAGGCCCAGCGTGGGGGAGCGGGAGGGGAGCCCCCGCTGACCCTGCCTCTTCTTCTCCCCCAGGACGACTGTGACAAGCTGGCCGCCTTCCTCGAAAGCGCCTTCCGCAAGCAGCACCCTCCTCCCTCCTGAGCCAGCGTGGTCCGGGGCAGGTGGGCCCCGTTGGAGAAGGGACAGGAGCCACCTTGGGCGTGGTGGGCCGGAGGGCTCCTCTGTGCCAAGGCTGGCTTGGAGGGCAGCAGCCGGGTGGGGGAGGCACCAGGAGCCCTGAGGGTGCCCCACCGGAAGACCAGGAAGAGCTGGGCAGGGCTGAGAGTTGGCGCTGGCCAGGGCGAATCTCAGGAACGGTTGCATTTCCACCAGCCCCTCCCCCATCTCCCCCTGCTGGTGGGGGTGGCAGAGGAAGTGCAGGCTTGCTCAGAGCCCCCGGTGGCCCCTCTTGCTCCGCAGCGTCCCCTTACGATGGAGAGGGTGGCAGGCTCAGAGCCACGAGAAGGAAGCAGAGCTCCAGAGGCCTTCGCTTGGCCACCACACCCGCTGGATTCCCCCCTCTGCTCCTGTCCGTCCCAGATTGGGGGCACCAAGAGGGAAGTCCCAGGACCTCGTTCTTCTCGGAAGGGTCGGGAGCCATTTGGACTGGGAAGGAGCTGGGCCCCAGGAACCCCTGCTTCAGAAGCTGCTTCTGCCGCCGCCACTTGGAGCTGCTCAGCTGTGCCCTACTGCTCTGGGCAGGCAGCGTGTGCGGATTCTGCGCTCTTGTGATGTATGTTGTGTTTGCTGCTTGCAGCCTGCTGAGCTGCCTGCCTTGGGCACCTGGTGCTGGCGGTGCCAAACCTCTCCCCACCCCCCGTTGCTTTGCCAGTGCCTGTGATGATAGCAATTAATATATTAAAATATAACGAGCCTCTTGGGGAACAGTGGCCTCCTCCGTTTCTGAGAACTGGCCCTTTCCCAGCCATTCTTCTCTGGGCAAGAGGGCCAGGATCCTGCACAGCCTCCGCTGTTCTGCCTGCCTCCCTTGGAGCCCAGCTCGGGTGCCTGCAGCTCCAGTCAGCTGGATGGCTTGTCCCCTGGGAAGAGGCAAAGCAGCTCCAGGAAAGGCAGACAGAGGCAGGAAGAGGGCCCTGTGGGGGACGCTCCTCTCTTCTCTGGACCAAAAAGCTGCTTGACCTGCACCCAACATCCTGTCCCAGCACGGAACCCCCAACCCCAATGCATGCCCTGCTTCAGCACCATCAGCCTGGCCGCTTGTGGGGAAGAGGGTGGGGAGCTAGCAGAAGCCGCTTCTCTGGTGCTGCCTCCATGGTTGGGCTGCCCCCCCCCCAGCAAATCCCAAGGCAAGATTCAACTAGCAAGTCTTGCGAGCAGAACAGAGCCAGCATGAGGGCTCCTTTCTCCCGCTGTGCCCACAGAAATTGGCTGGCAGTTGCTGGGTGATCCCCCCAAACTGCACTTGGGAGGAAGAGAGGAGACCATCCCGCCTGGCAAGCTGAGAAGCTTGTGCTGATGAAACAAGTGGCCCTTGTACTACGTGGATTTCCTCAGCACAGGAATGATGCCTGCCAGCGCCCTGGTCCTTGGCGAGCAAGGGGGGCCTTGCTTGCTGCTGCTCTTTGATAAGCCAGCTGTGGTCCTCTCTGCAGGTGGGCTTGCTCAGGTGAATTATGTCATTCTATTCTTCCACCCCCACTGCCCTTAGGCTTCCCTTGTCAAATAGCCAAAGCCCTATTTCCATCAAGACAGCTGGGCTAAATGAGCCTCAGAGCCTGCTGGTGTCCTTGCTCAAAGTCGGTCACCCAGCGCAGTCCATCCCTTGCTGGGAGTGCAGATGCAGGCCTGCTGCTGTGCTGTAAGAGGCTGAAAGGCTTTTCGGTAGTAAGATGCACATTCCAAAGGACACCCACGAGGTCCAGAGAGGAAGATCCAGAAGTGGGCCCAGGGGGCAGGCATGCCATGTGCCCCCAGCAGCCCCAGACCCTGTTTTCTTTCTATTTCTATTTTGAAAAAAGTAAGTCTCCAGTCCTCCTGGGAATAAAGTTAAGCAGCAAGACGTGCAGGTTCCCCTTCTACACACTGTCTGTGAGAAGAGTCAATCTGGCTGCTGCTGCCTTTCAAGGTTTTTAGCCAGTGAGTGAAGTCAGAGCTGTGAATGATGAGTGAGTTGTTTAGGACCCCAGAGCTTCCTATTGCCTGGTGTCTTAAAGAACTGCTGTTTCCCCCACTCCTTTAGCACTTTTCTGGCTTGTGGTTCACTTTCTAATCCTTAGAAACTCTGTAGTTTGCCCACCCTTTTCTCCTGGTAGTTAGGATGCATCTTTCCTGTGGTGTGACTTTCTGCAAATACAGTAAGTATGCATGGATGTAAAAACAACAACCACCCACCTTTGCAAATGGCAAAATGTGAAAGTTTTGCCAAGAGGCTTAGGTACGTCTATAGCTGACAGTGGTATACATGTCTACTAAGAAGCCCATTTGTGATAAAAAGGGCTTACCCCATGGCTTTGGTTTAGGGCTGGCAGTGAGGGAACGCAGGCTCCTTGTGCCTTTCACAACTGTGTGGCAGACAGAAGTTCTAGAAGTTAAGCCTTTTCAGTTATGGAAATACAATGTTTCACTTGTTCACAATCTGTGTCCCAAGACATTTTATTACGTGTGTTTGCACTGATTCTTAATTAATTAATTTCATAAAACTTAAGCATTACTTGATTGTAAAAACAAAACTATTTGTATATGACACCAATAACAGGTAACGTTTTGCACTATTTTGCAAGAGGGTCAGAGGACCCAATCCACAGTGCACTTTCCCTAGAAAATCCCACTGGCACCCCTGGTTGCAGGCAGACCAGATAAATCTTCCAGATTTGCATAATCAAATCAACTTCTAGCTGCAGTAAGAGGGGTCATAGGAACGCAAGTGGGCTGTTTTGCACACAGCTGGGCCCAGAAGCAAACTCCAGCAGCTCTTCACCAAGCCTCCTGGCCCTAGGCCTGGGAAAAGCCTCCCTCTGCTGCAGACCCCGGGGAGCTGAACTAGGAAAGCAATTCAGCCTCACCTACATGGTGCCCACTTCACTTGGGCCCTCCGTCCTTTCCCTGCTTATTTGACTCAGATACCTGAGCCTCATAACCCACAACTTCCAGCTTTTGGCACCAGGGAATATTCCACGTCTGCCGTGCCTTCAGGACTAGGCCAGATCCTGCCGTTAATGCCAGTGTCAATTATTGGTCTTTGTTGCTCTTGTAGAACCCAGAAGGGGGAACGTGCTTCTTTAGGATGCGTTTCATGCAGATTTCTTCCTGCTAGACTAGTAAAGGAGCCTCCTTTGCACCAAGAAGAGGCAGACGGTTCTCACTCAACCGCCTGACAGATGTTACCATGTACAGCCAATCTCTATAAGATGGCTGAGGAACTTCTGAAGGGAAACATTCATGGAGCACTCGTTCCTGGGAGTCATGGGTGATGGTAGTGGGGAGTGCTGTTGTGCTCATGTTTGGCTTGCAGGCTTCTCATACGCAGCCCGTGAGACATTGGGGGAGCAGGATTCCAGACTTGGTGGGTCCCGTCTGGCCTGAAGCAGCGGCAGCAGGGCTCTTCTGATGTTGCTATTGTGTATGTGTTAAAGTGAAGGGCAAAAATTCATGCAGGGGCCAGAACGTATGAAACAGAGTCTAAAAGCCTTAAAACAAGAGCAAACAAAGCCAAAGTCTGAATGCCTGCACAACACAGTCCCTGCAGGGACTGTCATTACTATGAGGAGGTCTCCAAGGCGAGGAGGAAGAGTGCTTGGCTGCATTCACCAGCTGAATCTAACCAGTGTGATGTAGTGGGTTCGGGGATGCAGGTGGCGCTATGGTCTAAATCACTGAGCCTCTTGGGCTTGGCGATTGGAAGCAACGGGGTGAGCTCCCATTGCTCTGTCCCAGCTTCTGCCAACCTAGTAGTTTGAAAGCACACCAATGCAAGTAGATAAATAGGTACCGCTGCAGCAGGAAGGTAAATGGTGTTTCCGTGCACTTTGGTTTCCATCACTGTGTCCTGTTGTGCCAGAAAATTTCAGGAATATATATTCAAGTAATATATTCTGATCAAAAAGCCAAATCAATTGTAAACCAGGTGGTAGCAGATAATTGTAGGATACAGAAAGGAACAAGACTGGGATGTCCATTATCATCTCTATTATTTATTCTGACTCTAGAAGTCCTGACGAGAAATATCAGGGCAGATGAAACCATTAGAGGAATTACGGTGGGGGAAAAGACATACTGTATAAATTAAAGGCATATGCAGATGACCTTGTAATTACAGTTGAGGATCCTAAGAACTCTCTTCCAAAAGTTCTAGAAAAAAAACAGGAATTTGGGCAAGTGGCAGGCTTTAAGTTAAATAAAACTAAGACAAAGCTGTTAGTGAAAAAATTATCAGAGAAGGATAAAAAAGAACTACAGCAGAATATTGAAATAGAGATTCATAAAAAAGTTAAATATTTAGGAATTTGGTTGACAAGCAAAAATATTATTATTAAAGATAATTATGAAAATATTGGAATGAAATAAAAAGGAATGTAGAAATATGGGAAAGAATGAATTTATCATTGCTAGGAAGAATCGCAGTGATTAAGATGAAAATATTGCCAAAAGTGTTCTTTTTATTTCAGTCAGTACTGGTCATAAGTAGTGCAGCATGCTTCAAGAAATGGCAAAAGGATATTAGAAAATTTATATGGAAAGGGAAGAAACCAAGAATAAAACATAAATTACTTATGGATATTAAAGACAGTGGAGGCTTCTCCCTCCCAGATTTTAAATTATATTATGAAGCTGCTTGCATTGCTTGGATCTGGGACTGGATCAAATTAGAAAATACAGATATATTAGAATTAAAAGGACATGACAACAGATTTGGATGGCATGCGTACTAGTGGTATGAGAAAGGAAAAGTGCATAAAGGATTATATAATTATATAATCAGATCACTTTTAAAAGTTTGGGAAAGATACAAGGACTTACTAGAACAAAAGACTCCATGGTGGTTGTCACCAACAGAAGCAGCATCAATTAAAAAAAATAACAAGAAGGAAAACTGGCTCTCATAGAGATCTATTAACAGAAACGGAAAGGAAATTAAAATTGAAAGATTTTAAAGAGATCTGAGAATATGTCAATGACTGGTTGCAGTATTTCCAAATAAATGAGGTATTTTAAAAAGATAAAAATAAAGGATTTAGTTACATTTTATCTAAATTTCAAAGAGAAATCATAGAAGACAACACTAAAATATTGAAGAAAGATGAACAATTTATTGCTAGAATGGGTAACTAAAGATGAAGAGGTTAAATGTGTAATGATTAAATTGGCAAGAAGATTTACGTCACAATATACAAATGGAAGATTGGGGAAAATTATAGAAAGTGGATTTAAAATTTACTGATTGTATAACTTGGAAAGAGAATTACATGAAAATGATGTATAGATGGTATATGACTCCCATTAAACTTGCAAAAATGTATAGAACAAGTTCGAATAAGTGCTGGAAGTGTAGAGAGAAAGAAGGTACGTTTTATCATATGTGGTGGAATTGTAATCAAAAATTATTGGGAAATGATATATAATGAATTGAAGAAGTTTAAAACAACTTTTGTTTAAAAAACCAGAAGCTTTCTTGTTAGGTATCATAGGGTAGAAACTCCCAAAAGAGCAGAAGAAATTGTTCATGTATGCTACAATGGCAGCTACTAGCCCCAAAATGGAAAGATGACGAGATACCGACGAAAGAAGAATGGCAAGTTAAACTCAAGGAATAGGCAGAAATGGCGAAACTCAGGCAAAGAGACAAAGACAATAGAGACTTGAAAAAAGACTGGGAATCGTTCATGTTATATCTACAGAAATACTGTAAAGAAATGGGCTCACCAGCAGAGTTTGAGTAAACACAACTAAGGAAACAAGAGCAAAGGTTAAGAGACAACAATTGTTGTTCTTTAGTCGTGTCCGCCTCTTGGTGACCCCCTGGACCAGAGCACGCCAAGCACTCCTGTCTTCCACTGCCTCCCGCAGTTTGGTCAGACTCATGCTGGTAGCTTCGAGAACACTGTCCCACCATCTCGCACCTCTGTCGTCCCCTTCTCCTTGTGCCCTCCATCTTTCCCAACATCAGGGTCTTTTCCAGGGAGTCTTCTCTTCTCCTTGTTAACAGAGAAATCCAAGGGCTCCCTTGGACAAAAAGCAAAGACACCAACCAGGATAATTGGAGCAAAACAGCAGCCAGTAGGCTTGGTCTTTATTGAAGACTGTCGTGACAGGACTCCCACTAACTGCAAGACGATGCAAGATGGAAGCCCTGAACAAAAGGAGACCCCAACTTTTATTAGCTACTAATCCCTCATGCTACACCCCTAAGACTACATCATGACTACATCATTGATACATCACAAAAAGGAGGGGTTGAGGGAGGAGTTGTGGTGGTAACCTGAGTGTCTTGTCACCTGGCTGGTTCCCCTTCCCCTCCCCATGAGTACTTTCCAGAGGACAAAGGGGAGTTTGCCGTTTCCTGTCCCCAGAGGGAAGAGCTGATCACTGTCCTTTGTTTCAGTTGTACTGAATCCACTTCCATATGCAGGTCCTTTGTGAGTGTAATGATCCTCTGTCTAGGACCATCAAGGTTGTCATGCCAACTGGGTACGGCTCGCTGTGGATGGGCTGGCTGCCTTGTGTCAAGTCTCCCCCCTTTGATAGTCCTTCCTTCATGGTGTAAAATAAAAAGTGGAACGGTATAGATCCGATGTACGGGTGATTTTCTATGAATTTATAACAGAAGTGTTGCGTATGTCATGTTTGTACAAACTGAATGATGGGGGGGGGGGTTCGTGCAACATCCTTAGGTGGCCAAAGTCTTGGAGCCTCAGCTTCAGGATCTGTCCCTCCAGTGAACACTCAGGGCTGATTTCCTTCAGAATGGATAGGTTGGATCTTCTTGCAGTCCATGGGACTCTCAAGAGTCTCCTCCAGCACCAGAATTCAAAAGCATCCATTCTTCGGCGACCAGCCTTCTTTATGGTCCAGCTCTCACTTCCATACATCACTACTGGGAAAACCAGAGCTTGAACTATACGGACCTTTGTCGGCAAGGCAATATCTCTGCTTTTTAAGATGCTGTCTAGGTTTGTCACTGTTTTTCTCCCAAGGAGCAGGCGTCTTTTAATTTCGTGGCTGCTGTCACCATCTGCAGTGATCATGGAGCCCAAGAAAATAAAATCTCTCACTGCCTCCATTTCTTCCCCTTCTATTTGCCAGGAGGTGATGGGACCAGTGGCCATGATCTTCGTTTTTTTGATGTTGAGCTTCAGGCCATATTTTGCGCTCTCCTCTTTCACCCTCATTAAAAGGTTCTTTAATTCCTCCTAACTTTCAACAATATGGAAATTAATTAAATGTAAGATGTTGGAACCGGAAGAAAATTTGGTATAAAAATGCTAAGAGTATAAGAGCACTCGGCTAAAAGATGAAAAATAAGACAAAATTAAGCAGAAGTAGCAAATAGTTAAAGAGCCAGAAGGGGAAGTTGAGGGAAGTCACCGGGTGGGGGGGTGTTTTGTTTTATTGTATTTTCTTTGATATGATTAATATGTTGAATATAAAATTAAAATTTAATAAAAACTTATTTTTTAAAAAAAAGTCAACATTGTTCTGACGCCAAGGGGCGGGGAGTTCCGCAGGGGAACAGCCAGGCGGCGCAGCAGCAGCAGCCTTCGAGCTGTCGCGAGAGCCCACGAGGCCCGAAGTCTGCCGCGGTCTGTCAAACGCATCACTCGGAGGCGGGACTTCCTGGTTTCCCGTCCTATCGAAGACCGAAGGCTCTGACTGGGCCGCAGCCGCCTGTCTTTGCGCGGGAAAATGCGAAACGGAGCCCGGAGCCGCCGCTGAGGCAAATCTCGAACGCGGTGCCGAGTCTCGGAGCGGGAGCCTGGCCACCCGGCGTGACTGAGCGCCGCTCTCCCCGTCTGCCGTCGCGCTCTCTGACGGTCGGTCTCCCCCCTGCGTCGTCACCGCCCCCCGCCCCGCCCGCCGGAGACCCCCAAGGAACCGGAAGTCGGTCGGGCCGTTCTCTCTCGCGCAGTTTAGTTCTCGCGAGAGCCTCGCACTCGGGGAAGGAGGAGTCGGGGAAGATGGCGGCGACGACGGCGATCTCTCTGGTGAGCGAGTCGCTCCTCAGCCGGCGGGTGAGGGCTAGGCGGGCGGGAAGGAGGGTGGGCGGCGCGGAGAAGACCTCGTCGTCGTGCTCGGGGCGCGGGGGCGCCGCCGCCGAAGTGCCCCCGCCTGAGCCTCAGAGCTATCCCGGCCGGGTAGCGGGCGCGGGGGGGATGGCGGGACTACATCCCCCAGCATGCCCCGCGCCTCTCCCCCGCCCGGCGCACGGGGCCACAGTTGCCGCGGCCGATGGGGCGCGTAGTTCTTGGCCTCCCAGTCGCTGAGGAGAGGCTGGCGCTCCGGGGTTTTCGAGGGAGGGAGGAGAAGGAGACCTCTTGGCGCATGCGCATCTGGAGGGCGCTCGCCGCCTGGCGCTGACTGCCGCAGCGAAGGGATCCCGGCCCCCCGGGAGGAGCGGCCCTTTCCGTGGCTTCTCACCCCCCCCCCCACACTAATTAGCGGCGGAGGAAATGCTTCCTCCCCGGGGCATGGCGGGACTTGTCTCCTTCCCCCTCTTACTCAGTCGCTGGCGGCATCCCCGGCTCTAGAGTGGGGGTGTTATCAGGTGTGGGGGGGGAGCCCCCTCGCCATCTGCAGGAGCAGCAGCGGAAACTACGGGACTCACTCCCGCAGCATGCGAGGCTGGACACCTGGGTGGCTCTAAAAGAGGATTGGGCGAATTCATGGAGGAGGAGGAGGGGTCTATCGAAGGCTACAAGCCAGGAAGCTTTTGCTGTGTCCTGGAGGCAGCAGTGCTTCTGAATGCCAGCTGCTGGAAACCACATAAGGGGCCAGTGTCCTGCTTGCGCGTTTCGCTTTGGGGGAAGCTGGTTGGCCACTGTGAGGAGAGGATGCTGTGCTGAGCCAGGATCCTATGTTTTAAGCTGTTGCCCTCCAGGCTGACCCCCCTTTGCTGTGCTGACCCCCCCCCCTTCCAGCACTGTCTGCACCTGCAAGAGTTTTGGAGCAAACTGTCATGGCAGGTCCTATCCCTTTCTGTTACCACACATGTTGTAGGTTGCTGTTTTTTCTCCTCCTTTTGTGGTGCTGTAACACAGGCATGTCACTTCCCAAGCAGTGATAACGTGGTAACAGTGGAAAAGTTTCACAGAACAGCTGAAGAAGTGAAATGATGTTTGGACCGGTTTGTCTTTAATAGAGTCACAAGCAGAGGCAGCAGTGCTTCTGAATACCAGTTGCTCAAAACCACAGGAGGGGAGAAAGCTCTTGTGCTCAAATCCTGCTTGCAGACTTCCCAGAAGAGGCATCTGGTTGGCCTCTGTAAGGCCAGGATGGGCCTCATAGACTAATCCTGCAGGAGCATTCTTATGACAGTCTGGTAGAAATGTACCTCCAACTTGATAGGTTGCACCTATGTTACTAAGTCATTGCCGCAAGATGCGCTTGTGCCTGGCTCAGGTGCTTGTAAAAGGGGAGTAGATAGGTAGGTGAGAGTGGAACACCGGATTACATGGAACCACTTGCTCTAATCCTGCAGTCGCCATCAGTTCACTTGTTAGTCCTTGTGTTAGTGCTCCCTCCCAAGGCTGCCGCTTGCTCCTTTGTTAAGAGGAAAGTCTACCTACCATCCTCTTGTTTTTGTCCTCAATCTCTTTCAGTTTATCTGGAGTCTCTTTTAAGGAAATCCTCCTGGACCGCTTTCCTCACACCTTTTCAAGCTCCCAGTCAAGTCATACATTTGCCCAACCTTTTCCCTCCTGTGAGGGTAGACCATACTGAGTTAGGTGGATCAGTTGTCTCCCTTGGTCTGAAGCTGCTTCTGGTGTTCTGCAAGGTAGCTTCTGTCCTGTCTCTCTCAAAACACTTTGCGTGCCTCCATCTCACCTTCTGGGCCACCATGCCAGCCACCTTCTCTGCATGCTACTTTGCTCCATATGGATCCTGTGTACGTCTTGAAGACAAGGTGCTTTGTAGATTGCCACTCACTTCCTTGCCTCCTGGATCTGGTTACATGTTCAGGGTTGCCACATGTGCTGAACAATTTGGGTGAGGCCCCCACAGTGTGTAAAGCAGCCACATCTCTCTCTGTCTTGAGTGGTTTGGAAACTTCCACAGGATATGTGCAGCTCTTATACGAAAGTGAAATGTTTTTGCTCTGTGCTGCTGCACTGCAGCCTCCTTTGCTGTTCCAACAAGTATTTGCCTGATGAGGCCTCTGGGTGTTGCAGTTGCTGCATTACCACATATGGAGAGAGGCATGTGTGGCTAAGCAGTGGGGGTCCTTTCTGAGTGCTGCTGCTGGGCTATGGGGCCATGTGTGCATCCTTGAACTAGAGCTTGTTCTTCAGAGGCACTCTGGAAAGTTGGAGGGTGGCAGCAGTGGTGAGGATACAATGGCAACACATCGGGATCACATGGCAGCTTTTTGGGATGGGGTGGGCAATCACTCCTAGAAGAAGAAAGCTGAGTTCTCTGAGGGAGGCTCTTTCCCTCTGTCTTCTCATTGCTCTCCCTTCTGAAGCAGCACAGACTTTCCCTGCAGCACTGCTCAGGCCTGGTCACCTTTTATGAGTGTCTCTTTCATTGCAGGGCACAGAGACCGTCAAGGTAGAAAATGGACAAAGCACAGCAGCCAAGTTGGGACTCCCTCCTCTCACCCCAGAGCAGCAGGAGGCTCTTCAGAAGGTGAGTGGACCAGCAGGGGCCTTCTGGCTTGCATGCTTCTCCCTTTCAAGAATAGCTGTAATGAGGCTAGAAAGCATCACAGCTCATGGGGAGTAGAAGGCCAGGGGCTAGTCTGCTCCTCCATCCCTAGATGTCCACTTCGTGCCTCTAGGCCCCCTTGGCAAACAACTCCAGTAGCTTTGAAGGTGATGGGGGGAGTCTTGAGCTTCTCGGTCAGCATTGGGCAACAGCCACTGACTACCAGCCTGTCGATGGGGGGGAACTGGTCTCAGGCAGGTGGGCTCTGGAGGAGGAGGGGGTAGTCCTCTGTGCTTGCAGTGCTGGGAAATGCCTCACGCTTTGAGGATGCTGGTGTGGCATGTTGTCGCTGTGGATGTCTGCTCTGTGACTCTGGGCTTTCTGTCCCCTTCAGGCCAAGAAGTATGCAATGGAGCAGAGCATCAAGAGTGTCTTGGTGAAGCAGACTATTGCCCACCAACAGCAGCAGCTCACCAACCTTCAGGTGAGGCACCACCCAGGGAAGCCCTGCCTTTGCCTCTCCCCCCTCCCCCAAGGTGGATCCCTTTATGCACTTAGAGCCACTGCACAGCCCTGAGATGTGACTGGAGCCAGGTACTTTAGCTTCCGTTTCCGCTGCGAAATTGGAGTGTGTTGTATTCCCTCCCCCCTCTGCTAGCTCCCAGGCCCACACACTTGCTTGCATTCATTGCCTGGGTAGGGGAAGCTTAGCTGCTGAAGGAGGAGGGGAGCTGGGCTCCCAGCTGGGAGTCCTGCTGTTGGCCTGCCTAGAAGGGGGTGCCTGGGGTTGCTGGGTACATCGTCCTCACACTGACAGTGGTAGGGAGTGGCAGTCGCCTTACAGTGCAAGAGGGGTTTGTAGCTGCTGGTGAAGCCCTCTTGCTCAAGAGCCACAGATTGGGGGTGGGGGTGGGGGCACTGGGGCCAGGCCCTTTGGGCAGCTCTGGGTTACTGGGTGGGGGCACCTCCCTGCAATTAGGCAGCTGTTGAGGGTCAAAGAGGAGCCCCGCCTGTCCTGAAACACCCCCCTCGCTCCCTGGGGCTGGCAGGGGCTGTGCAGCGAGGAGGTGGAGGCGGCAGCGGCAGGCAAGCAAGGAGGAAAGAAGGAAGGAGAGGCCTCTTCCACTTGAGTTTTGACGAAAAGCCGTCGTATGCTCAGCTCCCACAGACTGAACTCTGTCTTTACTGTCTTTCAGATGGCAGCAGTGACAATGGGCTTTGGAGATCCTCTCTCACCTTTACAATCGGTCAATAGACACATTCACTTCTTCTGGGGCACTTGGTCTTAGTCAGGGCCTAGCACAGGGGAGGATGTAGCTGTGGCCTCCCCCTCCCTCCCTCTCCCTCCACATACCCGCCTGCTTTGGACACGCCCCACCAACCCAGGCCAAGTGTTAGCTCCCCAGAGGAAGGAAGACCGTGGGCTGGGGGCAGCCGGGGCCGTTGGAGGCATTGGGCAGAGAGAGAAAGAGCGAGAGAGCTTTAGAGCCAAGCAGCTGGGAGAGCCACCTCTCTAGGGATGCTGAGGTCCTGACCTAAAAGTAACTGCCAAGGTAACTCACCAGTGGGCCAGCACGGGATGCGAGAGGCCTGGCTGCTGGGTGTTGGGGCAGTGAAGGCCCCTCTGGGCAAGCTGGACTGCTCTCCCGGGAGAACACTGCTAGGACAGTGTTTACGGGGGTGGGAGAGAGAGAGGTGGCAGTTGCCAGTCCTGCCTCGCCATGCGCAGGGCTTGGGCTGGTAGGGCACCTGCTCCTGTAGCTGGAGCCTAAGCACTGCACAGACACCTCGCAGAGCCTCCTCCAGCTGTACTGAGGCACGGCAGGGTTAGCCTGAGCGCTTGGCAGGGCCTGGACTCCTGCCAGGCCCTTGTGCCACGCTGTGCCTGGGCATGGGGTGGGGGTGGAGCTTGCTGAGGCATCCCGGTTACTGCTGCGTGGTGGACAGGGAGGCAGAAGACAGACTGAGCCCTCCAGGAGCCGTTGAAGAGTCCGGCCTTTGAGCACAGAAGGGCAGAAATGCCCTTGAGGGCTGGCCTCTGGATTTGACGGAGGGTATCGGCCGCTCTTCTGGGGCTGGGAGCCTGGGTTTAGCTTAGCATGGGTGGGGCGAGGTCTCCACGGGAGCGAGTAACTGGCTGGCGGCCTTGCAGTGCACCTGGCCACCCACCCGTGGCACCTCATAGGAGCTGCCCGTCGCTTCCCTGCTTATGTTGGGAGGGGAGCAGGCAGCCCAGGTGGCAGGTCCTAGGGCGGGCTGGGGATGGTTGTCCTCGACCCCACGTGCTTCCCTTGCGAGTGCATGCAGCATCTCTCCCTAACTCTTTGCTCTGCTGGCTCCTGAATGCTGGGAGGTGTGATGAGGTCCTCGAGGTTGCCCTGTGGCTCTAGTTTCCTTAGTCTGCAGCTGGGAGCCCCATGCCAGAGAGGGGGCCCTTTGCTGGCCCCACAGACCGGCTCACTTTGCATAGGGAAGGCAGGCTTGGCTTGCAGCTGTCCACTGCCTCACCCATGTAGTTCTCTCCTAGCATGGTCTTCAGCCTCTGTCCCAAAGAGAGGGAGGGAGGGAGCAATGAAGGAAGGAGTGATCAGGGCGGGCCTTATTTGCCTCCTTTTGGTCTCTTGGACCATGCAGGCTCCTTCCTGCCAGAGAAGCATTGCGGGGCCCCTTGGGGGCCCCAGGGCAGCCCTGACCGTTGCACAAAGTCCACATGGCTCTGGGCAGCCAGTGTGTTGTCCCTGGCCATTGGACTCTCCTCTCCCCACCTGATCCCAGAGAGCAGTTCCTTCTGCTGGCCCCATGCGCAGGTGCGGGAGTGCAACTGCTTCAGGGTCCAGCTGGGTTTCCACAGTAGCCTTGTGTGCCACTGCAGGCCAGCAGCTGGGTGGTGGCAAACCTGGGATTGGACGCCAGCTGAGAGTGTCTGGCTCAGGGCTCCAGCCAAGACAGTATGTGGAGGGGGAGGGGCAGGGAGACGCATGACTACGGCCCGTGCTTGGGACAGCAGCCCGTTCTTTGGAGCGCAGGCAGCGGAAATGACCCCTTCACATGGACTGTTGGTTGTTTCTGATGGGGCCTGTCTTGGGGATGAGGGTTTTGTCAGGTGAAGACTGAAGCTGGATCTCTTTCTGCCCCATGGGAGGTGGCTGACCCCTTTCTGTCTGCAGTAGGATGTGGCAGGTTCCTCTTGCAGGAGTGAGATGAGATGGCTTGGGTGGGCCAGGCTGGGCTGGGGCTGCTGAGACTCGGAGCTTCCCTTCGCTTCTGGGGGGGGTGTTGGGGGCGGGAAAGGAAAGCGGGGTTGTTGGGGAAGAGCTGTCCTTGCCCCTCCAGCTACCCCCCAAGCTGACCAGCCAGACCTTCTTTCTGATACAGATGGCAGCCCAGAGGCAGCGGGCTCTGGCCATCATGTGCCGGGTCTACGTGGGCTCTATTTACTATGAGCTTGGAGAGGACACGATCCGTCAGGCCTTTGCCCCCTTCGGCCCCATCAAGAGCATCGACATGTCCTGGGACTCTGTGACCATGAAGCACAAGGTTGGTGCTGCTGTGTTGCAGCCAGTTGGGTGAGCTCCTTCAGGAGGGGCGCGGCGCGAGGGCCCTGGCATGGGTTGTGAACAACACTCTCTCCCCCTTATTCCTTGCAGGGCTTCGCTTTTGTGGAATATGAGGTGCCTGAAGCTGCTCAGCTGGCCCTGGAGCAGATGAACTCCGTCATGCTGGGGGGACGGAACATCAAGGTATATCACACAAGCGCCGGCAGGTAGCTCTCCCTGGCCCTGACAGGGTGGTGCTGCTGCCCATTTGACTGCCTCTCGGTTCACTTGTTTTGGTTTTCTCCCTGCCGGGACAGGACAGGACTCTGCAGGCATGGAAGCCCCATGCTGACTCCCTCCCCCTATTGGAAATCTGCTTTGGTGCCCACCCCCCGCTCACCTGGATTTTCAGCAGGGGCTGGACTCCCTCACCTCCAAGCACACCTCCCCTCCCCTCTGGCCCGTTAGTTGCCTGCTTGTTGTCCAGAGGGAAGCAGTCACTTGTACCCAGCACTGTTTTCTGGGGGGGCTCCCTGCAGAATTGTGTGTGCAGCAGTGTCAGGAGAGTGTTGGGTGGGCGGCATGCATGCCTGTCCTCCTCAAGGCAAGGACCTTTGCTTGCAGGTGGGGAGGCCCAGCAACATTGGCCAGGCCCAGCCCATCATCGACCAGCTGGCGGAGGAGGCACGGGCCTTCAACCGTATCTACGTGGCCTCAGTTCACCAGGACCTTTCGGATGATGACATCAAGAGTGTTTTTGAGGCCTTTGGGAAGATCAAGTCCTGCACGTTGGCCCGGGACCCCACGACAGGGAAGCACAAAGGCTACGGATTCATTGGTAAGTGCGCTGCCAGCGGCGAGGGCAAAATCCACTCTGGTATGGGGCAGCTGCCCTCCAATCGCCATCTTCTCTTCTTGCAGAATATGAGAAGGCACAGTCTTCGCAAGATGCTGTCTCGTCCATGAACCTCTTTGACTTGGGGGGCCAGTACCTCCGAGTGGGCAAAGCTGTCACGCCCCCTATGCCGCTCCTGACTCCTGCCACTCCAGGAGGCTTGCCCCCAGCAGCGGCAGTCGCAGCCGCTGCTGCCACAGCAAAGATCACAGCTCAGGTAAGAAGCGGAGTTGAGCATTAGCATTGAGCCACGTGTGCTGCTCCGTGGTCTGGGTTTTGCAGGCACAGGTTGCACACGTGTGCACACATCTCTTCCATCACATTCTTGCACCTGCCTAGAGCATCTCTAGGGGCTGGAGCGACCTGCTTGGACTCTCTTGTTTCGGCCTGCCATGAGTGCTGGTGGGTGTAGCGCTGAAGACAGTTTGTGGGCCCCTCAAGCCTCTTTGGGTGCTTGGAAAAGGAGGGCCAGGGCTCCTTGGGCAGGTCTGATCTGGTGCTGTTGCCTTTCCTTCCGCAGGAAGCTGTGGCAGGTGTGACAGGAGCTGCCGTCCTCAGCACGTTAACAACTCCAGGGCTGGTGACGCCGGCACTGACCTTAGCACAGCCCCTGGGCGCTTTGCCGCAGGCTGTGATGGCTGCCCAAGCACCAGGTGTAATCACAGGTGAGTCTGGAGACAGGGCGCTGAAAGTCTCACATGCTGGGTGTGGAGGTGAGGGTGGCCCTGGCATTTGGAGGCTGGAGGTCTCCTTCCTGAATTTGTTGAATCTTCTTTTTAAAGCCCTCAGCGAGTTCCATAGGTGTGTTGTGTGGAGAAGTCGTTCCTTTTGTGTCCTGAACCTGCTGCCAGTCTAATTTCATTGGAGAACAAAAATAACTTTTATTTGCTCTCACTTCTCCACACCAACATTCTTTTCTGTGTTCTCCCATCGTGTATCTACACTAAAGTGAGCCAACAACCTTCTAAGCAAGATGCTCCAGCCTCTTCATCATCTTGCTTGTCTTTTTCTCCACCTGCTTCAGTTCCATGATGTTCTTTTCAAGATGAGGCATCCACAGCATCTCTGTATGATGGCTGTTCTGGTTTTGATTTCCTGAAATGGCCCTTTTCTCTGCTGCTTAAACGCTCCTCACATTGCTCATGAAACCCGATGTGTTTATTGTGACTCAAGCAGGAGATGTAAAGTTTCACTAACCTTCTAGAGTTCTTTGAAAGTGTAAGCAAGCCTATAGATAGAGGTGGTCCAGTCAGCATTGTGCATTGAACCTTTGGAAAAGCTGCTGGTAAAGTCTCTCATTAAATACTCCAGAATAAGTTTAGCAGTCATGGGGTCAGAGGGCAGGTTTGTAGCTTATTAAGGAAGAGGAAGCAGAGAGTAGAACCAATGTAGGAGGTGGAGTCCCCCGAGGATTAGTATTGGGATGGGTGCATTTTAATTTACTCATTAGTTAGGTGCAAGCAGTGAGGTGGCTGTTTGCTGGTGATGCCAAATGTTCCAAGTTGATTAAAATGAAAAGGGATTGTGAGGAGCTCCAAAATGATCTCTCCAAACTGTTAAATGGGTTTTAACATGGCAAATGCAATTCTGTTCAGTCAAAGGGAAAGTTAAGTACATTGGAGCAAAAAATCTTAAATTCATACATAAGCTAATGGGGTCTGAACTGGCAGTGACTGACCAGGACCAAGACCTTAGGGCTGCAGTGGGCAGCTCAGTGAAGAGCTTGACCCAGTGTGTGGCAGCTGTAAAAAGGCAAATTCCATGCTAGGGATCATTAGGAAAGGAACTGAAAGTAAAACAGCTGATCTCATAATGTTGTTACAAAAATCTATGGTGTGGCCACATTTGGAATACTGTGTCCAGTTCTGGTGGCTTCACTTCAAAAGGATATTGTAGAGATGTCAAAGGATTGTTGGCTTGTAAAAGTACTTTTTTACCACTATATCATAAACAACCGGGGCGGTGTATAAAGTTCAGAAAAGGGTGAACAACATGACCAAGGGGCTGGACCAGCAGCAGCATTTGGGGCCTTCTAGTATAGCAGGGGAAAGAGGAGTCTGGGAAACAACATAGAAGTGTATAAGGCATGCATTCATTGGAGGAAGTGGGAAGGACAAGGTGTTCTTCTGGCCGCGTAATGCCAGAACCCAGTGAGGCCTTCCAAAGAAGTTGCACGTTTAGGACAGATTCAGGTACTTTTTCATACTGTGAATAGTTAAACTCTGCTATTTGCTCCCACAAAATGTCGTGTTGGCCACCCAAAAGATCTAGACCAAATAATGGTGGGTAAGGCTAGTAGCCATGATGGCTCTGTGTTCTGCCATCAGTGCCTGAAGCAGTATCCTTCTAAATGCCAGCTGCTGGGAATCTCAGAGAGGGAGAGCACTGTGGGCTTCCCCTCCAGAGGCATCTGGCTGGCCACTGAGAGCTGTGTGCTCCACGGGCCTTTCTTATTTTCCAGAAGGGCTTCTTGTGTTCCTTGTGAAAACAGGTAATTCCTGCCTTTTGCTTCCTGTCTTTAAACCATTCAGTTAAATAATGCATAAGAGGATTTGACCTCTTTCTCAAGAGCCGTTGATGAGGAAGTTTGTTGAAAGCCATCTACATATTTGTTGCTATTCTCAAAGAATTCTAAAAGGTTGGTGAGACAGGACTTCTTATTGCAGAAGCCATGCTGGTTCTTCCTCAGCAAGGGTTGTTCTTCTGTACATTTGACAACTGTAGCCTTGCATATATGTTTCCTACCAGCAAAGCCTGGTTTGGGGGACAGATCATGTCAGGGGATGCATTTGCCTAGTGCAAGAAGTCACTAATTTCTTGCAGCCACCCTCTCCCCAGATGCTTGCAGCACATCAGTTTCATTCACCTCCAGAATCACTTGTTAATCTCATGCTACAACTTTGAGGTACTTTGTAGCCTTTGTACTTCTCAGTCTCAAAACAACCTCAGTTCAAGGTGTTTTCTCCCTTTGCCCACACCTGTTGGAGATAGGGGTGAGCAATGAAGTCATGTTTGTACATGATGGGGTATTAATTCCTTTACACTGTGTACAATTCTGGTCACCTTACCACAAACAAGATACTGTAGAGCTGGAACAGAAATGTTTCGGGCTTTGTAGTATTGAAATGTGAGCAAGGAGGCATATGAGGGGTTTTTGAAATAATTTCATGGCATAGAGAAAGTGGACTGAAAGCAGTTTTTCTTCATTGCAATAATAATTTAGGTTACCTTGGCAAGAGGCATTGGTAAGTAGGTTCAGCAGAGATAAGGGGGGACTTATTGGAATATGGAACTCGCTGTTAGAAGGCATCCAATTACCATATTTCCTTTAATAGAAGATTTGGTGTAGGCCAGCTTTCTCAGTGACTATAAGCTATGATGGTCGTTGAACCTTCACAAATATTGCATGTTGTGGAGTGTAGGCCTGCCTTGTGATTTTTCAAAGCAGCACAATTTCTTTGAAAAACTGGTTGCTGGACTAGGTGGGCCTTTGACCTGATTGAGCAGAGCTGCATTCAGGAGGATTGGGAAGCTGCTTTGTATCAAGTCAGAACACAACCCTATACATAGCCCAGTATTGTCTTTTCTGACTGGTAGACAAGGACTCCAAGATCTTGGGCAGAGAAAGAGGTAGAACAGTTGGTGGTAGAGCAACTGCTTTGCATGTAGAAGGTCCCAGGTTCAATCCCTGTCATCTCCAGTTACAACTGAAAGAGTCCCCTGCCTGAAATACTTGAAAGCTGCTGCCAGCCAGTGTAGACAGTCCTGAATTTGCTGTGTTCCTGAATCAAAGCTCCCTCCCATGAGGTGTCATTACTGCATTCTCCCGGGTGGTGTTTGGCCTCCCCCTTTTTGGGTGCCCTGCTCATTGCCTGGGGAGGGAGGGAGGGTCCTGGAGCATATGAGTTGCCTGGCACTGCTCTTGCTCATGCCTTGGTCTGTTTCTTTCCCTTCAGGCGTGACCCCTGCTCGCCCACCCATTCCCGTCACCATTCCCCAGGTGGGTGTGGTGAACCCCATCTTGGCCAGCCCCCCAACACTAGGCCTGCTAGAAGTAAAGAAGGAGAAGGAAGAGGAGGAAGTTTTCCAGGAGTCTGAGAGGCCAGAAATGCTCAGTGAGCAGGAGCACATGAGCATCTCTGGCAGCAGCGCCCGTCACATGGTCATGCAGAAGCTGCTTCGGAAGCAGGAGGTGAGTTGGGGCCAGGGCAGTGAACTTAGCTGCCCCAGGCTTTCTGCCCTGGGACTGGGAGGAGACGGGACAGGACAGGAAATGTGGTGGAAGGTGGTGCAGGGTGGCTGGGGTGTGGGGAGCCAGCTACCAGAGGATTTCCCCACCCCAGAGTGGGTAAGGAGGGGTCTTGTGGAGTTGTGACATGTTGCTCTCCTCTTCTCCTGGCAGTCAACTGTGATGGTCTTGCGCAATATGGTGGACCCCAAAGACATTGACGATGACTTGGAAGGGGAAGTGACAGAAGAGTGTGGCAAGTTTGGGGCTGTCAACAGGGTCATCATCTACCAAGAAAAGCAGGGCGAGGAGGAGGATGCTGAAATCATTGTCAAGATCTTTGTTGAGTTCTCCATGGCCTCAGAGACGCACAAAGCCATCCAGGCGCTGAATGGCCGCTGGTTTGCTGGCCGGAAGGTGGTGGCCGAGGTGTATGATCAGGAGCGATTTGACAACAGTGACCTCTCCGCATGAACTCTGCTCCAGAGAGACTTTGTTATTGTTCTCCTCAACCCCCTTTGTGTTCAGGGATGCTTCTGGGCCAGCATCTCTTGCTCCTGTCATGTATTTGTAGTTTCGGATAAAAGTGCAAGGAGAAAAACCTTTCTACCTTTGTGCTGGAGTGGTGGTGCTGGTGGGGCATTCCCTTCCCAGTGGCAAGAGACTTTGCGCGCTCTCTCTCTTTCCCCTCCCACCCTGTCTTTCTCCCCTGTCCTTTACCACAAAGGAGTGAATGGGCCGCTTTTACTGAGTTATGGGGGTGGGAATGAAGAAAAAGGGGCCAGTTCATTCCCCCAGCCCACCCCCTTTCTGGCAATTATGAGGAACCCATTCTGTCAAATGTTTTGGTCCTCTCTCCATACCCCTTGCTTGGTGATGGTGGCAGCAGTCGTGGCCAGCATCTCTCTTCCCCTACAGAGCAGGCGTCTTGCCCCTGAGCCACATAGGGCCAAAGCCACAGCACTTGGGGGGAAAATGAAGATGGAAGGCGCACCATCTAGCTTTGGGCTGCAGTTCATGACCAGTGGTCAGGGATGATGTGAGCTAGGTCCAAAACCTCTGGGGAGGACACCAAGCTGGTGGAAGGCTGGCCCAGAGGATAGATTGCAAACTCATAAGGTTCTCAAGGTGGGTGTGAGAGCAGCAGAATAAAGTACCGCCTAGAAAATAATGATCTCTCCCCCCAACCAGGCTTTGCTGGTAGAAAACATATATGCAAGGCTACGGTTGTCAAATGTACAGAAGGACAATCCCTGCTGAGGAAGAAGAATGGAAAGGAAGAAGGAAGGCCTCTTTTGGGGTCTGGAGACTAGGCTCCCAAGCGCCCGCTTGGCCGTAGTTGGGGGTGCCTCTTCCCCAAGTGGATGTGCCTCTTCCATGTCCGCTTTCTCCCCCAACCTGGGGAGGGTGGGTGTTTGTGTCCCCTCCCCAACCTGAGCAGCAACAAGTTTCTTTTATTATTCTGTTTTTAAATGGCCATTCTGTGAGCTGCTTTGAGGCAGGAGGTAGAATGATAACAAATATTGTTTGGTAATTTAGGGACGGGGGGGGGCTGGGGTGGAGAGGATGACCTTAGAGTTGACCCTCAGGAAATGATGGGCCGAGGGAGGTTTGGGACGGTCGCTGAAGCGTCTCCCCGCCCCCTCCGTGCAGCAAAACACCCCTCGAGCTGCAGCGAATGTCGGTCCCCTAAACTACGCCGTTGGGGCCAAAGTCGCCCCCTCCCCCCCCCTTGCGCTTGGAGCGGCTTAAGAAGCAACCAGCGTCGTCTTCTCGCCCCGCCCAAGAAGCCTGGCTTCCAGAGAGAGGGCGCTGCGGGCGCCGGCGAGAGGAGCAAAGGGGCGCGCGCGCGGAAGGAGGGGCGGGGCCCTGGCCGGAAGCGGGCCCGGAAGTTCGGCCGGGTCGCGGGGGCTGCCGGGAGTGGTAGTCCCCCTGGGCGGAGGGCGAGGCGGGGCCCTTTCCCAGGGTGCCTGGCGCGGGGGCGGGGCGGCGCCAGGTGCCGGCGGGGCCCGGTCAGGGTCTGGGAGGGAGGGAGGGAGGAGGGCCGCGCCGAGAGGGACCGCGCGAGAGAGGGAGGGAGGGAGAGAGGCGGGAAGGCCCCTCCGCCAGCGCCCGCCCGCCCGCCCCCTTCATGGCTCCGCCGCCGCCGCCGCCTCGGCCCTGGGGGGCGCCCCTCCGGAGAGCAGCCGCGCGCGCGTGAGGCCAGAGGGAGGCCGCCGAGGACGCCGCCGCCGCCGCCGCCGCGAGGATGCTCCGCTGCATGCCGCCGCTGTGGCGCTGCAACCGGCAGGTGGAGACGCTGGACCGGCGGCACTGCTCGCTGCAGGCCGTGCCCGACGACGTCTACCGCTACAGCCGCTCCCTCGAGGAGCTCCTGCTCGACGCCAACCAGCTGCGGGAGCTGCCCAAGGTGCCGGGCGCGGGGGGCGGGCGGGCTCCGGGGGAGTCGGGGGAGCGAGGCCAGCCCCGAGAAGAGACCCTCCTGGGAGGAGCCGGGCCTCCCTCCAATGTCGCCTCGCCCCCTGCAATGCAGGAATCCTGCCAGGGCGAGGGCCAAGGCCACCTGCTAGGGATGCTTTAGCTGTGACTCCTGCCTTGCAGAGGGCTGGACTGGATGACCCTTGGGGTCCCTTTCGACACCTGGGGCCTGGCCAAGTCTCTTGGGTCCGGCACTCTGTCCTTCAGCCTGCGCCCAGGATCCCCCGGTCAGAGGCGCCCTTCTCCTCTGCCTGTGGCACAACTACCCGCCATCTGGGCGAGTGCTGGGCTCCTTTAGAGCCATTAAGTGTGCAAGGCTCAGTGTGAAATCCACTGGGAAGCCGACAGGTGAGCTGTGCTCCCAAGGCAGCGCACAAGACCGGTGGATGCTGCAAGGCGGATGCCACAGCCAGACAAGCCTCTGGCTGAGCCCTTGGGCAACGGTTGCTCCCAGTCAAGGTGAGCAGGTGCTGCTGCTCCATCTGAGGCCCCAGCACAGCCTCTCGCCTTGGGCAGAGCTCTGAGCTGCAGCTTCCTTGCAGCATGTGGGTGCCTTCAGGTGTTTCCGCTTCTGCCGCTTTCCAGTTGGGTCAGAGCCGGTTCTTGATCTCCCCCTACCAGCTGTGTTGATGCATTTGGGGTTTTTTTTTTTAACCCTCCTCGCCTTTAGGGCGCAGTTAAGGTTGGTAATGACATGTTAAATGTAATCAAGTGAAACTTGCAGCACTAAACACTCCCTCTGGAGCACACAGTGCTGTTGTCTGAAGCTTCCTTGTTCACCTGACCCTGGCCTTCAAAAAAAGAGAGCCGCTCTTCCAGTCCCTCTGGAAGGGGGATGGGCTTGACTCTGGAGCTTGTGAGGCACTGATGGCTTATCTCTAGATCAGTCCCAAAGGTGCAGGAGAGCGTAGATCCCAGGGCATTTCGTGACTCACATCACTCTGCTAGAAGTCCAGCTAGTTGTTTCCCTCAGGATGAGCCTAAGGTTGTGGACCTTTCCTTGGTTTCCCCCGAGGCCTTGTTGTGGCTGTTGCTGGCTGGGGAAGCTGCAGAGAGGGGAGTAGATTCCTTCTGTAAGGGCAAACCAAGCACGTTCTGGACCGAGAAACCTGTGAAGAGCAAACAGTAGAATTGTCAGGAACTCTGGCTGGGACGGGTTGGTGCCCTCCTCCTTTGCCTCTTGGTGGTGTGGGTTGGAGAGCGGGACGTCTAGCTGAGCAAGCACCCACTATCCTTTGAGACTTGAGTGGGGTGCCATCAGTCCCCAGCCCTGGCCAAATCCCAGGGCTTCCCCGAATTCCAAGGGAGGGAGGCAGGCAGGCAGGCAGGCAGGCAGGCAGGCACCAGCCTCTTGTGCAACTGTTCCACAGCTGCCGTGCTCCACCCCACACTGGCCAGGGTAGGGCTGGCCCTGGGCTCTGTGTGCATGTTGTGGAATGGCAGCCAGAGTGTTTTCCCCCAGGCATTTGATATGCATTCTTTGGGGCCTGAGAATGGAGGGTTAAATAGCAGGAAATCCGGCTAGCCTGCCTTGCGGGGGGGGGGGGGGGAGGAGGCTGCAGCAGCAGCAGCCAAGGAGCCAAAGGGGCTGCTGTTTGTGTGGGTTGCTGAGGCGGCAGTGGCTGTTCTGGCGGCTGCTCATTGCTTACCTGCCTGCCTGTGAGGCAGAAGGGGGTCTTTTTCTGACTAGGCTGCTGCTGCTGCTGCTGCACTACTTTTACTTCCTACTCTAGCTGTGGCCTTTACTTCTGTTCTACTGATGCTTGCCATTCAGCCAGGTGGGTGTTATGAGGACGGTGGATTGGCAGCTTGGCAGGTCTGCTGCCTCTGGGCTTAGCCAGGCTTACCCTTAGTCCCACTCTTTCCAGGCACAGGCCCTGCTTTAAGTTCTTGTTGTTGTTAGCGCTCTTTCTAAGCACACCCCCCTTTTAGCCCTGGAGCTTTTCTCGCAAAACACAACACTTTAGCCCTCAAGTGTCCTTTGGACATTCCCATGCGTTCCTGGGAAGAGCAGAGGAAAGGTGTGTATGGATAGAAAGGGCCTGGCTGGCTTCCTCAGCCTCCTCAGCTGCTCCTTGGGCAGAGGGGGAGAGAAGCAGGGCCCGCTGGAGGCCACCAAGGCCAGGAGAGCTTCATGTTGCCCCCCCCATTGTTCTCAGAGCTAAGGCAGGAGGAGGCAGCCCTGCTCTGCGAGAGCCATTCCCTGCGCTGGGAATGCCCCTCTCTCTGAGCTGACACTCTGATTGCAAGCCCTCTCCCCCTTGCAAGAATTGCTCTGCCCTGCCTGGTGCTGGAAGTCAGCTTGGCTCCCTCTCCTGGCACAGCCGCCCCTGCCTTGGGGGGGGGGAGATGTTTGGTCTGGGGAAGTTTTCCTTGAGCAGAGCAGGAGGGGCCTTGCTCAGGGACCCTGTTGCCCCCTGCAAGACCCCTCCTGCCCCGCTTCCTCCAGGAGCTGGGTGAGGCCCTGCACAGTGCTTCCCAGGCCCCGACATGGGGCGTGGGGGAGGAGCAGGCAGTCCTGAGCGGACAGACAAAGCCACTCTTATTCTTGACCCACGGGGGGGGGGCGTCTACTGCACTTGGGGACCGAGGGGCGGGGATGGCTATTGTGATGCTTGAATACCCCTCATCACTGAGCATAGGGGAGAGGGGCTGGCTCTCTGGGAGCTGCCATCTTGGGAAGCAGGGGGAGGGGCACAGGGTGTCCTGGGGGGGGGCAGCGTGAGGGTGGTGGTGCCTCGGGTGCTCACTGCTAATCCTGGCTAGCCATTCACAGCCACCTCCTCCTGCCGGGGGCTTTGTCTGCTGCTGCTGCTGCTGCTGAGAAGCTGCCTCCTGGCTCTGATCCTTTTATCCTCCAGCCATTCTTCCTTTTCATTTCCAACCCTCTGATGATGTGGTTGAGTGGCTGCCGGGGTGGCGGCGTCAAAATTGTGTTGGGGGAGCAGGTATTGCCTGGGCCTCCCTGGCCTGGGCGATGGTGCTGCCATTCAGAGCGGAGGACCGGGGGGGGGGGAGCTTTGTTCTGCTGCAAGCCGTGGGCCGGGTGCTCCAGGCAGTGCTTGGGGCTTCTCCTGGGAAGAGGATTTTCTCCAGATTTTGCCCTAGGAAAGCCTTGGTCCATGTTCAGTCCCTCTGAGGTTCGAAGTCAAGAGGGCAAGGGACCTGGCCTCCAGCATCTGTGTTTGTGTGGGGTGCATTGAATTTGTCCCCACCCCAGAAACCAACCCATTCAGAAGACCCTTCCTGAAGCTTTCGTGCTGAGCCCCCCTCCCCCGCCACACGCCACCTGGCACTTTCTCCCCTGCAGCCTCACCTGCCCCTCTGGCACTTCACGGCCTGATCCTCCTGCCCCTCCTCCCTTTGCTGGGCGTCTTCCCTGGGGGTGCACTTGCTGCGCCAGTTGCCCGTGGCTCAGTGGAGGGGCCGCTGGGCAGGGTGGGGGGAGTGGGGAGAGCAGGGCCAACGGCAGTCCAGGTGCTGCAGGAGATTTGGGGGGGGGGAACGGTGGCACTCAGGCTCTGCTTGCCAGCTTTCCTTTGGCCCAACTGGATGGGGCCTCGGCTGGAAGCAGGGCGGTGCTTGGGGCAGCCTCTCCATGCCCCTGGAAAGTTCCTTGCCCCTGGAAAGAGCCCTGCAAGTCCGTGTGAGGTGCCCGGCATGGTGGGAGGTTGTGATCATGAGCACCAGAGTTGTCTTGGGAGGAGATGGGCACCTGACCCCATTCAAGGCTGCACTGGTTTCCCTTGACATCCTTTGCCGAAGGCGCCAGGGGCAGTGCTGGGGGCGCTGGTGGTACTGAGCTGCCGCCTTGCCTAGAGGAACTTGTGGCTTTTTTCCCTCGGAGCAGGAAGGCAGCGCTGACACACCGTTCTGGGGGGAAGCCCCTGCGGGTGGCTCTCAGCTCATGGGATGTAGCTGCCCCCCATGCCAGGTGACTGTGGGCAGCAGGCAGCCCTGAAACAGTGACCCTGGCTTTTAAATCTTAAGGTGCTCCACACTCTGTGCCGGGGGGGGGGGGGCAGAAGAAGTTGCTGGTGCCTCATCCTGACCCACTTTGCCACCTCCCATCCAGTCTTGCCTTTGCAGCAGGGGGCCGTCTTGTTTCTCAACACAAACAACTTGGAGCACACGTGTTGTGCTGTTTGTATGTTGCTCTTTGAAAAAGAGAGGGGAGTTTCCCCTCTTTATTCCCACCCTTCGAAAGTGGAGCCTCTAGTTTGTGAAATGCCCTGGCTTTGAGGGTTGAGGTCTTTGAGGGGCAGATTCTGGCTGCAGGCTGGAGCTGGTGGAGGTGCTGAAGGGGCACTGTGCCCCCTCCTGGCTTCCAAGGGCTGGTCCATCTCAGCTTGGGTGGGTGAGGGCCCTCCTTTCCTTGCATTTTGCTCTGTGTGGCAGGCAGCCCATTGCCATCCTTCAGAAGCAGTTAGAAACTCAGATATATAAACCAATTGCCAAATGGCACCTTAAAGCTAGGTTCTAGTCGCTGCAATGAAATGTCTAGGCGTCTCTTTTTGCACTGTACTTTATTATTACACTGTGGGACGCGGTGGCGCTGTGGGTAAAACCTCAGCGCCTAGGACTTGCCGATCGCATGGTTGGCGGTTCGAATCCCCGCGGCGGGGTGAGCTCCCGTCGTTCGGTCCCAGCTCCTGCCCACCTAGCAGTTCGAAAGCACCCCCAAGTGCAAGTAGATAAGTAGGGACTGCTTACCAGCGGGAAGGTAAACGGCGTTTCCGTGTGCTGCGCTGCTGGCTCGCCAGCTGCAGCATCATCACGCTGGCCACGTGACCCGGAAGTGTCTGCGGACAGCGCTGGCCCCTGGCCTATAGAGTGAGATGAGCGCACAACCCTAGAGTCTGTCAAGACTGGCCCGTACGGGCAGGGGTACCTTTACCTTTACCTTTACCTTTACCTTTTTTATTATTACAA